TACTGCTGTGCAGCGGAGGAGAACTCGCACGCAGAGGAAAAGAAAAAGCCCAGACTGAAGTGCGAATTAAATCCTTTTATTGGATACATTAGAATGTTGTACAGACTGTGAAAAAAAAATGTGCAAAAACTGCAGAGTACAAACATTTTGGTCCACGCTTGACTGGCCTCAGTGCAGAACTACACTGCATGTTTGCACTCCATGCACATTTTCCCCACTGCCTGCACAGCCCCGTAATATATCAAATACAAGAATTTAAAATCCAGACTTTAGTCGAAGCGCTTTATTTCTGCTCTCTTAGCTGCTCTGTAACTTTAATAACAAAGTAAGAATAAGTGTGGGGGCTGTGGAGGTCGTACCTTCTGTGCCACCTCTAACAAAAAAAAAATTACCAGCTGTCTTTGTCTTGTTTTCTGCCACTTTACCAACATTTAGAACCAATTAATATCTGATTACAGTTCATACAGTGAACTCTTAATCATAGGCTGCATTATAACATTTCTAAAAGGACGCAATCATGAAGAACGTCCTCCTGAGATGCTGCTCGTCTCCAGATGAAGTCTTGCTTTTGTCCTCTAACTTTTACTGATCTTAAGACTAACAGCAGTTTATTTTTAAGTGCTCTGACCTGCTAATGTGATCTATTGCATTAAGGGGGGGGAAAGAAATAAGCATTTTGTCTACTTTCTGTTATTATAAAACCTGAAAACAAATGAATTCCTGTTTCATTGCAGTTGGATTTAGGACATATGAGCGTGCCAAGATTTTCAGCTAAGATGATGAACGTTACACCCACTCACTGCTGCAAACTGTTTAATGTCTTCTATAAGCGCCTGGTGTGTAGGTATAAGATGCTACGTAGCAGGAAGGTATAATTTAGTGTCTTGTCCTAAGCAATAAAGGCCCTGCAGCATTAGGTGAACGCTGTGTCCTTCCTGTCCTGCTCTCAGCCCTGATCCTGGTGTCCTGTGCGGTTAATTGCCATCTTGTCCTGAGCAGCAAAACATTGGCCCAGTGCGGCACACACACACCAGCCTAAACCCAGTCCCACTGGGCATCACATTATTCAGATGAGAATATCTGCAAGAATCCAGTAATCCAAGGTTAGGGGGTCTTGCAACTGATTCCTCACCGCAGAGACAAATCTATAGCTTTCCCAGAAGCAGCCAAATATGAGAGGAAACACCTGACACGGGATAAGATGGAGGGGCAGATTAAACAGGACACAGAGGACGCAGGACAGCACACAGCAGCCACCTAATGGTCCAATAAACTCATTGCACACAGAGGGACACCCCGCTGGCAATAGAGGAGCTAAGAGCTGAAGGGTGCTCAGTCATGCGTGTGCACATGTGTAATCCAGTGTGTGTGTGTAGCCGCTCAGGAAGATGAATAGAACTGTGCCGTGCAAGGACATGCGAGGAAATAATCTTTGCTTTAATACCACGTACAGTAAAAAATGAATAAATGTACAAAATATGCAGCAACATCAGCAGTACATGACAATCAGAAGTAATACTAATGCAGGGGTCGCCGCTGTCAAGCAGCTCAATGGGAACAGAAATAAAAGCTTTGAGGGACAGTTTGACTGAAAGGAAACAGGCGAGATTTAACAAGAGTGAAGCGCTCCACTGACTCTCCCATTCCTGTCAAACACATTACAAATTGTGCATTTTTCTTACAGTTAAAGATCTCAACAAGTATGAGAAATCTCAAAGGCATCAAAGTCAAGTTGTGGGGGGAATATGTAAAGAATAAAACTGAGCAGTAGCCCAACACCCTTCATACAGTCTGCTGCAGCTCAAACACTGACAAAGACAACAGACACAACGCCAGGACAGAAGTTTACTGCACCAGTGTGTCAGTAGGTGAATAAGTTCAAAAGAAATTATAGAAAAGCACCTTAAACGTGCAGCAGGTTGGAGGTTCAGAGAGACTAAACAAAGGACCTGTCTGTAGAGCTCACACACCAACACAGGTGTTTGCCAATCAGCTGCTGGAAATAATCTAAAAATAAATCTGAATGACATCAGTCGTTGCTGCAGCCCGTTGAGATCAAATATCTCATGCAGCAGGTTCAGAGGAGAAACATCAGATAGCCAACCGCCAGTGAATACCACCAGTAAATTCAAGTCCAGTCGTCTCTGACATGCAGAACACACACAGAAAGAGTTGCGCTCCATGCGCTCTCGTGTCATCCTCTCGGTCAGCTCGTTTACGCACAGCCGGCGTCGCTTTTACGCGCAGTGGCAGTTGTCACCACAAAACTGAATGAGAGCTCCACTTCAAATAAAAACAGTAAACAGCAGTTGCACAAGACTGTGATGCAGCCTGAATGAGCTCAGATAATGAATCTGAATGTCAAAAAACCAATGACACACACACATGACAGCTAAACCGCTGGAGCAAAGGTTCAACATGTTGCGTTCGGTTCAGAACAAGGCGTCAAATGCAAACAGACACTGCAGAGAAGGAACTTAAAGAAAACTTACGGCAGTGAAGAAAGGGTGGCAGGGCAGCAAACCAAAAGCAGCTGGTGGTTCAGGCATCCAGGTAAATCCAAAGAACGACCACGATCCAAAAAAACCAAGGACACCGGGAGAACCAGGCAGAGAATCGCAGTGGAGGTGAAGCAGGAGGCGAACAGACAAACTTTTAAAGGAGAGAGAGAAGCGACTAGACGATTTATACACACAGGGGCTGTTTGAATTGGGTGATGAGACACAGGTAAACAGATGAGGGCGCAGGAAGCAATTATTAAGGCGGGAAACACACGAGGGGGAAAGCACTAAACACCCGAGAGACACAAAGTAAGTAGCCTCAAAATAAAACAAGGAATAACACAAAACGCACATGGAACACGGGTTAAGACAAACCAAAAGCAAATCATGTAATTTAAACTGCAGACATAATTAAGGACGATCTTCAGCTTTGACTACAACTGAACTTTGACATCAGTAAAGCTTCCAGGTCATGATCCTGAGGCCTGCAGCTGGGACGTCCTGCGCTCTGACGCTGCGTCACCGGCGAGCGGACGTTTTACGCACAGCTGGTTTGTTGTTTTAGGTGATCATAATGCAATTAACGTGACCCTATGAGTAATGTTCCAAACCGTACAGAGCCAACCTGTTTTCTTTTAGTCATCCAAAGAACAATTAAAAACCGGTTTTGCATTTCATTGACTCCATCCTTACGTGACGCGTCCGACTTTACGCCTAAGCTGTCTATTGTAGTGCAGAATAAAGGAGGATCTGTTCAGACAAACAGAAAGTATGAGGCGCGTCATAAAAAAACAACAAATACAGGCTCACGATCAATACTGCGGTATGCGGGAGAAAATACAATATAAAAGCGCGGTATTAGATTTTACAAGCGTGCCCTCAGCAAGAAAGCCCACCCACACAGAGGACAAGCCGAGAGAAGGATGTATGCTGGAGAAACTCTGCTCCTGGCAGGTCGTGTTGGTCCAGAGCAGGTACACTGGAGGATGAAAAACTCACACATAATAAAGTCACGGGATAATATGTGTCTGTAGATGGATCATATAATCTTTAATCGTTAATGAGGAGCCAAGTGAATATAACTTTGATCACACAGTGAGAATAAGTGTGGGGGCTGTAGAGGTATCAGCTATTACAAATTCCTCTAAAATCCCCAACTCTTGTTTTCCTTCACTGTGCCCACATCCAAGTGTCAGCTGGAACCATTAAGTATTTTATTACAAGTCATGAAATTAAACTAAATTAAACAGTAAATCTTGGGCTGAATGTGTTTTCAGTTTTTTAATAAAAGGATATCTGGAACAAGACATGTGAAATCCTGAAATGCTGCTTCACTCCTGAGGAAGCAGTGGTTTTTGTGAGGAACCAAATAGGATTTTTTTTATCAAAAGGCAAATGTTTTGTGAAGCTTCAGGGTCAAGAGAAATGCAATTCTACGCCCAGAGAAGAAAAAGTTTCTGCCTACAAAATGCCCATTGATTTTCTTTTTTAAGTTATTTTTTTGGCCCAGAGAGAGAGAGACAGGAAAGTGGGGGAGAAGAATGGGGGAAGGAATTGCTGCAAAGGGCCATGAGCGGGATTCAAACCCATGACTGCTGCATCAGGGACTATAGCCCAGGGGTGTCCAATCCTGGTCCTCGACAGCCCCTATCCAGCATGTTTTAGATGTTTCCTCTTCCAACACACCTGATTCAAATGATCAGGATCGTTATCAGGTTTCTGCAGAGCTTGATGATGAGCTGATCATTTGAATCAGGTGTGCTGGAAGAAGGGAAACATCTAAAACATGCTGGATTGTGGCCCTCGAGGACCAGGATTGGACACCCCTGCTGTAGCCCCCCTGTACATGAGTCGCCAGCTCATCCAGGTAGCAGCAGCCCTAAAATGCACATTGATTTTCAACCATAAACCATCTCTGGCTCATCTTTTAGCTACTCTAACGTTCTGAATATCCCAGTAAAGCAGCGCCGAACATTTCTGCAGCTGAAGATCAAATACAATGAGCGCATTCATAAACTTTAACGCTTCTATCGAAACTTTTGATTAAAAAGCAGCACATGCATGTGGGCTGTTTTCACAAGGAACGCTTCGGTTTATTGCCAACAGATGTTACAATCAGAAAGAATAAGCGTTTTAATATGTGATGTATTTGATTAACATCATAGATCTTCAGTGTGTAAATGGCAACGGCTTCATAATTTAAGAAATTAACCGGTTTTATGTGGAGGCACTTGTGGGAGCGTCGCGTCAGGAGGTGCTGACTGATGGCTTCTAATGTGGTTCTGACATTGATTAAAGCTTCAGTGAATTTTTTATGAGCGTTTTCCCTCCTGTTAAGAAACACATTTATAAAATGGCTTTTGTCAAACGGAACGGTTATCAAACTTACTGTATAATTAATTGTGCTTGTGCAGTCATAATGGATCTCAGTGTGGTGGGTGCTCGCCATGCTCTTACAAGCATTTACACAACAGTTAAAAAAGAAAACACACACAGTCATTTATTTAAAAGTAATATTTATTTTTGCACCAAACCAAAAACAAAAAAATAAAATAAAATCCTGGTGCAAAACGATAAATTCCCAGTTACGACATCAGTGACAGTGCATTTCAGGAAAATAGTAATGCTCAAAAAAAAAAAAGAAAAGAAAGAAAGAAAGAAAGAAAGAAGGGAAAAAATCTACAACAACAGAAGAATATCAACACCAATAAAAGCAGTAAAAATATCACAACCAGTTACCTTTTTCAACAGACGATGGCGGCAAACGACGACAGGAAAAATAATACAGTAACTCGCAGTAATGCTCCGTCTGGTACGGAAATATCAGAACCGCCGGCGCCACTCGGACTCTCAGACAACCTCACGAGAACACACACGGGGGGCCGGCAGGCAGCGAGAGCCGAACGACGATCATCCCATTACCGCAGCATCAAAATCAATCACATGTAATAAATATCAATGAAAGCACCTTTAAAGCTGAAATGTGTTTTAATTGATCAACCGAGTGTGCAACATGTTAAAAAAAAAAAATCCAATAAAAACATTACATCAGGAGACTAATACCATTAAAACAGCCGTCAAATTTTAAATCATCACGTACATTTTTTTTCTTCTTTTTTTTGCTCTTAATTATGAGTATATACAAACACAGCATCATCTCCCAAAAAAAGTCATTATTAAGTGTCTCATTCTGTAACATATTTTGAATTTCAAAGCCGTAAAATGTTTAAAAATGAATAACTTCTGGAAAAAAAACAAAAAAAAGCAGAGCCCAGGTGAGCTGATCAATATTTATATCAAATCGGATTGTATTCGTAGGAGCCGCCGCGTGAGGCGCTGGTCCGAGCCCGACAGGAAACTGTAAATACTCCTTTAAAAATGCACAAAGCCGTGTGTGTGTGCGCTCCAGGCCGCCGAGACAAAGAGTTCTGCTCCCGTTTATGTGCAAACATCTGAAGCTGCACTTGGGAGAATTTTTCTGAAAAGAAAAACCTTCCAAGCGACGTTTCCATCGAGAGATACCAAAATATAGAAAAAGGTTCTGACAGTTCATCATCACGAAAGAGTAGCATGCGAGAGATTTTTTCAGATCGGCACGACGAGGCGAGAAATATACAGCGACGCTCTACGTAATGACTGCTCCTTCGTCTTTTTACAGGTGCTACCGTTTGTTAGTACTGCGACCCGCTTCGAGTCGAACTCTGCTGATGGAAACAGATTCATACAAAGAGTTCACTGGGATCTGCAGCGGAGTTGGTAGTGTAGCAAAGACAGCGCCCTCTGGACCGAAGACCAGCCGACGGTTCGATCCAACAGAGAAGATTTCCAACACAGCGTTATTCATTCATTATATACAATCTCTAAGGTTACAAGAATGTTTCCCTCTGTGCTCAGTCCTTCCAGCAATTTGTTTGGTGACCATTTGATCATTTACATTCTCTGCGAATAGTGCAAACGGTGAGATGCTTTTTTTCTACAAATCTTACAAAACTGCTGTCTAGAGCCTCGTGGCGCAGCACTATTGGCTCGGCTTTTGCAGTTTCTTTTTAATTTTTTGCGAATTTTTAAATGTGTGGCAACGTTAAATACGACAAAAGGACCGAGTCTGTAAATTCCTGGAAGGACTGTTTTATTTGCTATGTGCAAATGTGTGTGTCTTCACAACGGCTGAATGAATATATTCACTTGTTTAGCTGTATATATGGCTTCTGCTCATGTATGGCTCCTTTTTCCCTTTTTATTCCTATATAGCCAGGCACTGTTTCTTATCCACGGAGAAAACAGGTGAATGTTTGAACTTTTAGTGTGTGACGTCGCCAAATCGCGGCGAGCGAATACTGAACAACACTTTCTCAAGGCCACATCTTCTCTTCTCGATGAAAACACGCGTTTGGTTTGTGGAGAATACGACACGAGGAATGATTTTACTGTTAAAACAAGTGGAAACTTTACATTAAGCCGCACCAGCGCTGCGTCGGCGTGTGTTCGGGCACCGACCGCTGGAGGACGTGGTGTTACCAGTAAAAGCACATACCGCTCCGGTTCCGCGCCGGTTCTTCCTGCCCGCCGTTACGGCTAGCTCTCCTTTGGGGTCACAGTTTGCTTTGGCTGTGCTTTGGATGCTGTCGCAGAGGCGGAGGAGGACGTGGAAGAGGAGGAGGAGGAAGAGGATGAACTCCATCGGGTCTCTACGCCTGTGCTCGTCATCTTCAGCTTCCGTCGCTTCGCAAGAGGAGCGTTGTCGACGCTTTTCAGAAAGAAGCCCTCTCTCTTGCCGCGGTTGAAAGCCTGGTCACAGACGAGACGGAGACGAAGCACAGTCACTACATGCACTTATATTTATTTGATCAATGGACTTCTTCTATCTGGAAACTAGCAACAAAAGACGGCAGCCCACTGTGAGAGAGACTCGAATTTAATTATTTATACGTTGCCACATCCAAAATGATTCAGACCCCGTCTCAGGCTTTTGCCTTCATTCATCAGAGCAGTGGAGAGACAGGAAAGGGGGAGAAGAATGGGGGAGACTTGCAGCAAATGGCCGTGGTCGGGAGTCGATCCCACAACCGCTACGTTGGGGAACTATAGCCCCTGAATATGGGTCGCCATCTTATTCCACCCTTTTTTGCGATAACCTCCACATCTATTTTTTTTTTTTTTTTTTTTAAGTTATTTTTTTGGCCTTTATTAGATCGGGCAGTCGAAAGGAGAGACAGGAAAGTGGGGGAAGGGTTGTAGCAAAGGGCCATGAGCGGGATTCGAACCCATGACCGCTGCATCGGAGACTATAGCCCTGTATATGGGATGCCAGCTCAACCAGGTGAGCTATAGCGGCGGCCCGATCTCCACATCTTTGAGGTTAAACACTTCCTTTCATCACTCTGGTCTTTATTTCCTTCACAGGTTCTTGATGGGACTCAGGTCTGGAACACTGTGACTGTATGTTTCAGATCAACAGAACTGATGACCAGAAACCTTCTCCTCTGTCCAAATCAGCTTTGGCAAAGGCCAGAGGAGCTTCTGTGTGTCTGTCTTGGAGAAGGGGAGTCCTCCTTGGTGTCTGATTGAGATGCTGGTATGAAAACTGTTCAGATTCATCGGGATGGTCTCAGTGGTGATCGTCTGATTCCTCTTGGTCTCTTGCAGTAGCGTTATTTCTAGTCCAGGGGTCACTTTTCTTACTAACAGCACTAACAACTACTCTAATGGTCTTCACCGTGGCCACTGGCACTGATATGACCATATACCCTAATAACAGCAGCTCACTAAAGCTACTTGGTCCGTCCATACAGCCGTGACTTGCGATTGATTAGCAACTGACCAGAGAACTACTGCAGCAGCTGTTGTATTTTTTGTGCATTAGAATCCTCTAGAAATAGTAAAAGTTACCCTTAACATCTCCAACACAATGTCTGACTGTCTGTTGTCACTCATTTATGTCATTTCCAGCCTGAAGAAACCTAATTTTCATAACTGGTCCAGTGAAAAATTCCCTATAAATCAAACTCCTCTGTGGCTTTGAACAACCTCGGGCTTAACAGTAACCTCTATTCCAAGAGCTCTGACTAATCTGTCACACAAAGATATTACCTTGTAGGTGGCGTTGACGTAGGTGCGGACAGTCGGCCCACTGGACTCCAGCACATCTGGAGTGCACAAAGGAGTGGTGGACATGGAGGCACCGCCCTGCAGCCAGCTGTTCTCTTTCAGATCAGAGAGCTTGAGACGCCTCTCCGGGTCCACTGTCAGCAGGCCTTCAACCACACAGAGACGCATCAAGACAGGCAAAAAGACGCAAACAAGCAAGATACGACATGTGACAAGTAACCCTGACAGCTACGCAGCACCTCCATGAACACAGTGGGAGTTCCTGAAACCATCCCAGTCTCCAACACAGCACAGAGTAGTGAGCACCGTTTGTTTAACTGTAAAATCTAACTAGTTCTTGTACCTTTGACGAGCTCTTTGGCATCCTCCGATACGCCCTTCCAGGCCTCCCCATCCAATGAGAAATCACCCTCTTTTATCTTCTGCATGATGTCGGCAGCATACGATGAGGTCATCCCACGCTGCTCGCTCTGAAACGGCACCTGGCCTGACAGCATGGTGTACTGATGAAGACACACACACAGTCGTTAGCGCTTCGGTTAAACGGGCAGATGTGGCAGAATCAGCATATTCAGGTTCAATTACCAGGATGACCCCGAGACTCCAGAGGTCGCACGCTTTATCGTATCCGGCGCTCTCGAAGAGCTCTGGTGCAGCGTACTGCAGCGTGAAGCAGGGAGTCTGCAGGGGGGCGCTGCCTGCGGGGCACAGGCGGGCAAATCCAAAATCTATTACTTTTAGCACAGCGTCCTCCCCCTCATCTGCAAACAGCACGTTCTGGAAGATAAACAAACAAGCAAACGCCATGATGAGCCGCTCTGGTTTTTCTTTGCGCTGCACGTTCAGGACTCAGTTCTCCCGACAGAGTAAAGAATAATTAATACTCATAGTAAATACTACGAGTTGTTGGTGTCGTCCACAGCTTGTTGTGTGCTTTGCTCTTATGTTTGTGTCAAGTGCAGCACCTGTGGGGCAAACAGATGGTAGTTTGTTCTTTTTTTTTAAGTTATTTTTTTGGCCTTTATGATATAGGACAGTCGAAAGAGAGACAGGAAAGTGGGAGAAGAGGTTGCAGCAAAGGGCCATGAGCGGGATTCGAACCATGGCCACTGCCTCAGAGACTACAGCCCCTACACATGGGTCGCCAGCTCAACCAGGTGAGCTAAAGCGGCGGCCCAATACATCGTAAATTTAGTTTGTGAAAATGATATTAGACGTCAGGGCACAAGAGATGTTTTCACCTCACCTATTTGACAAGGCTTCATCTTTCTATCAACAACTACAAACTCAACACTTAAAAAAAATTGTGCAGGAATTTTTGAATGATGTCGATAAATAGTTTTAATTGAATATTTCCCAAACAGCAAATGCAACCAGTATAGATGCATGAAAAAAAAGTTTACGTGACTCTTACAGACATCTAAAAATGAATGGCGCCCCAAACAGGAAAATCACCAGCACTAGAATGATCATCACTGAGAATAAAAATGTGCAAATTTGCAAATTCACAATTCGATTTTGTAACCAGTTTTGTTAATTATACGCTCATTTACTCAAGCAGAATAGATATTTTTGTTCATCAAACGATCAGAAATAGCAGAAAAATGCACAGATTTCTGTCAAATAAGGTTCCAGACTCACTGTTCACTGTCCTGTCAACCCCGACGGCCCTTTGTGAGACAAGAAAAACCCTGCATGGCTGATTCCTGCCACTATCTGTCATCCACAGCTGCTATACACTATATAAAAGTCTTCTCCTTCGTTTAATTAAATCCCACAGCCAGCTGAAGACGGCAGGATAGATGTGCGATAAAACCTGCGGCCTGTATTTTGAAAAGCGCCGCAGCGGAGGCATTACGCATTGTTGTGTTTACCTTGATTACATCAGATGTAAACAATGCTGTAACGCATCCCCACACATCACGCCGGTCGGCTGGAGCTCTGGAGGAGTGTACGGCTCACACGCGGCTCACAGCAGAAAAATACTGAGACAATTAAAATTTCACTCTGTTCTTATTTCTCCAAATTACAGGGGCCTAATAATTTTACGCCACGACTTCCTTTCGACAGTTTCTCTGACTAATGTAGCATTTCCAATGAATGAAATGCACTTGAAATCTGAATATAATGCGATTCAGCAGAATTGTAGCCGGAATAACTCTGGACTGCTGCATTCGTATAACTCCGATCGTATTAACTAGGGTGTTCCCTGCCCAGTGTGTCGCTGAAACAGTCATTACATGGAAGATTCTGTACATTGCCAGGAACGAATCAGGTCATCGAATCACATCCCACCTCGGGTTTGAGATCCCGGTGCACGACTCCGGCCTCGTGCATGAAACTGACAGCCGAGACCAGGCTCTGCAGCAGCTGACTGGCCTCTGCCTCGCCAAATAGCTTCTTCCTCTTGATCCTTTCCAGCAACTCGCCGCCTCGCAGAAGCTCCATCACTAAATATGTGTGGTACTGGCAGAGAAGGACATATGCAAAAGACAAGGCTTCAGGCAGCGGTTCTGATGCAGCAAACGGTTTAATATTCAGCATTTCCATAGTTTCTGTTTGCTAAAGCCGGGCCAGGCAGAAACTACATAATAATCTTGCAGTAATTCAAGAAGTCTGAGAGAAAATTAGACATTTGCACCTCCTTTTGACTTTAGAAAAATCCAGACCATGACGGAAGACTTTGGCCAATTACAGGTCTTTTTAGAGAGAGGCGTGGCTCCTACTGGCTGCTCTAGAAATGTGCCTTCAAATGGTGGAAAGCCTGATTCTATGGTGTAAAGTCATGCAGAAAAAGTTGGTTTTCAAGCATTGATAAAAACTACCTACGCTGCAGAGCAACCCAAAAAAGGAAGATGTACTTATCAAAAAGAGTTTCCACAATAAATGCAATAAAACTGGAGTTACAGTTACTGGAGTTACAACATTCTGAGCTTGCAGTTCATCTCCAGGACAAGCTTACGTATGAAGCGTGTGAATATGCCGGTGTGTGTTGGAAAATGTTGAGGAAAGAGATGGAGGGAGGGTAACTGCAGGAGGAGGGCATACGCTCTGATATTTTGCCTTTGACTTGCCTTTCAAAGACTTCTGCCTACCACAGCTTTATACTGTGCGTATACAGCACTTGTAAAGTTGTCAGTAACGGTACGTGTCACCCCGTGTGGATCCTGTCCCCACTCCATTGTACCTGATCAGTGTAGACGTCATGCAGCTTGACGATGTTGGGGTGAGCCTCACATTGCCTCAAGGCAGCGATCTCCCTCTGAGTGTTTGCCTCCATTCTAACACAGTCAAAATAAACAGCGTTACCAAGGACAACTCCGTACCGTCAGATGGTTCAGTGATAACAGTCAGGCACACCGCCACGAAGCTATCTGAGAGCAGCGCACTGAGCGGCATCGCATCTCCGCTCACCTGCGGCTGACGATCTTGACGGCGTACTCGTGGCCGCTTTGCTTGTGTCTGCATTTCCTGCACACGGAGAAGCTGCCCTCGCCCAGGGGTGGCCCGTGAAGACACAGCTCGTAATGCTGAAAAAACTGAGATTCCTGAAGGGAGAAGAAACAGCATCAGGCTGTTAGTGGAGGTGTGCTGGTTTTGATGTATTTAGGCAACAGGACATGGTTTACAGTGAAGTGAAAAGGATTTTACTTTAGTGTCCACTATGTAATAGAAAATGCATTTATGTACTCGTGTACTTGACAGTGGTGCTCATGTGCATCTACTCTTGTACTGCACTTGAACACATTTTAAATGTACCTGTATTATAAAAGTATGTCCATTACACATAACTTTATCCCTCTACTTCNTGGTGTAAAGTCATGCAGAAAAAGTTGGTTTTTGAGCTTTGATAAAAACACTACCTACGCTGCAGAGCAACCCAAAAAAGGAAGATGTACTTATCAAAAAGAGTTTCCACAATAAATGCAATAAAACTGGAGTTACAGTTACTGGAGTTACAACATTCTGAGCTTGCAGTTCATCTCCAGGACAAGCTTACGTATGAAGCGTGTGAATATGCCGGTGTGTGTTGGAAAATGTTGAGGAAAGAGATGGAGGGAGGGTAACTGCAGGAGGAGGGCATACGCTCTGATATTTTGCCTTTGACTTGCCTTTCAAAGACTTCTGCCTACCACAGCTTTATACTGTGCGTATACAGCACTTGTAAAGTTGTCAGTAACGGTACGTGTCACCCCGTGTGGATCCTGTCCCCACTCCATTGTACCTGATCAGTGTAGACGTCATGCAGCTTGACGATGTTGGGGTGAGCCTCACATTGCCTCAAGGCAGCGATCTCCCTCTGAGTGTTTGCCTCCATTCTAACACAGTCAAAATAAACAGCGTTACCAAGGACAACTCCGTACCGTCAGATGGTTCAGTGATAACAGTCAGGCACACCGCCACGAAGCTATCTGAGAGCAGCGCACTGAGCGGCATCGCATCTCCGCTCACCTGCGGCTGACGATCTTGACGGCGTACTCGTGGCCGCTTTGCTTGTGTCTGCATTTCCTGCACACGGAGAAGCTGCCCTCGCCCAGGGGTGGCCCGTGAAGACACAGCTCGTAATGCTGAAAAAACTGAGATTCCTGAAGGGAGAAGAAACAGCATCAGGCTGTTAGTGGAGGTGTGCTGGTTTTGATGTATTTAGGCAACAGGACATGGTTTACAGTGAAGTGAAAAGGATTTTACTTTAGTGTCCACTATGTAATAGAAAATGCATTTATGTACTCGTGTACTTGACAGTGGTGCTCATGTGCATCTACTCTTGTACTGCACTTGAACACATTTTAAATGTACCTGTATTATAAAAGTATGTCCATTACACATAACTTTATCCCTCTACTTCACTACATCCATCCATCCATTATCTATACACCGCTTAATCCTCATGAGGGTCGTGGGGGGCTGGAGTCTATCCCCGCAGGTAGGGGACACCTAGACAGGTAACCAGTCTATCACAGGGCTACACTTAGAGAACCAAGCACACTCACATTCAGACCTACAGACAATTTATAATCACTCAACATGTTTTTGGACTGTGAGAGGGAGAACCCGAAGAGAACCCACACTGCACACCCACACGAGAACATGCAAACTCCACCCAGAAAGATCCCGGGTGTCCTCACCGGGACGCGAACCGGCAACCTTCTAGCTGCGAGGCAACAGTGCTAACCACCGAGCCACCTTGCAGCCCCTACTTCACTACATAACAAGGGGAAATATTACACATCACTACATTAACTTAAACAGCTACAGAGACTACTTATTAAAACGCTTTGTGTTTTTAATCACCCTGCCCCACGTCCAACCTAAAGTCTGGGGTGGAAGCTCAGCTGCCCTAAAACACTCAACAAAACCAACTGAAGAGTGAAGTAAATGTCAGTCAAGCGCAGTTTGTTGTCGACGCCCACGCTGCCCTGAGAAGAGGCCTTAATTAGCATAAAAACGCAGGTGGATGCTCTGTGGGTGTCCACGAGCTTTAAGATGTTACAAAATGTAGAATCGATAGACAGAATATGATGCAGTTTCATAGATTAAACCAGCTGAACAATCAGTAGTACCAAATGAATCTTCTATAAAGGTGTGCAAGTGATAAAGTGATGGGGTTCACTCTGCTTACATGGTACTTATACTTTATGATACTTTGAGAACGTTTACTTTGGGTTAAGTCATATTTTGAATGTAGGACTGTAATAAATATACGCATTTGAATATGTCATCAACCTGTAGTAGCCGCATAGGGTTAGCTATAAGGTTACATGCACTGATTTATATATACATAGCTACATTTAGCATTTACATATCAGCATCTAGAATTTATTGTCTATTAATATAATCTCACTGTGGGATTTTTTTGTAATACATATTTTTATTTATCTAAAAAAAATACGAAACAATTTGCAGATCTCATTTCTTTGATCTCTGTATTGTGTAATGTTTTAAAAGCAAAGCTAAAAATACCCACTTTGACTGTCTGTTACTCGCAGCTGATAAACATCAACTAAACAAATTTCTTGAAAATTTTCCAGACTGAAACAGACGCTAAAGTGCCATATAACGAGATCAGAACGTAGTTAAGTCAATACATCCTGTGAGACGAGGCAAGTCCGCTGTGATTAATAGGATAACTTCTCCAGCTGTCTTTCTTCCCGTCCGTCAACGAGCAACGCTGCCTCTCGAACATAAAGCAACAACAACACACATCCAAACCTTTAACAAAAACGGGTTTCTAAGCCCAGCTCCATACCTGTAACATTGCACTGCGTTGGACAGAAGCAGAAGCTGGTCGCTCAGCACCAATCTGAGATTCTACGAAGTCTCCCATCACTGCGTTCTTATTGAACAGGATCGAGGGAGCAATAAAGGAGTAGCCCTGAAACAGAGGAGAGGAGTTGGAGGTGATGAAGAGGTGGAGCACTTTGAATCATTAGCTCCAAGTGACAAACTTACAAAAATCACAAATGTATGAAAAGACATTAATAGGCATTAATTCAATTCCTTAAAACTTTATTTGTCCCCTGGGGCCAATTTAAGAACAATTAAGACATCTTATTGAGTGACTGCCATTAAAAAAAATATTAATTATTAATGAAGTTAGAATCTACTTTATCAGGACGTCATAATGTTCAGATGGTGATTTCAGGTATATTTTTTGGAAGTACATCTATTGTTTGGGTCAAGCTTAGGACGGCGAGGACCGACCTGGAAAAGGCGGTCCGTGCTTGGAGGCGTGCTCGCCGGAGAATAAACAGGATCCATCCCAGTGAATTCCTCGGCAAAGTTCCCCACGTCAAGCTCGCTCTTCAGCTCTGGCTTAAACGGGCTTGACACCTTCTTCTGTGCGAGGTCGGCCCAGTTCAGCCCCTGTGAGGAAACAAGGAGCAAATGGAAAAAGTTACAGATCAATGAAAACAAGACAGAGGGGAGGAGAGGTACAGTCGTCTTCAGATGTATTCATAGCCTCACATTAAAGAAGGACAAAAAAACGCTGTCACTGAAACTGACAAAAGTAATAATAGACATGCTTTTGAATTGTGGTTCAACAGAAATAATAAAAAACAAAACAAAAAAACAAGCAAACAAGCATGATGGGTAACTCTCAGTCAGACTTCTGCACCTGTTGACAGGTACTTGGATTTCACTGCTCATCAGCAAAGTGCTCTGATCTGTCCGTGACAGTTTTGTTTGTTTTCTTAAATTATTCTTTTCAACCACAATTCAAAAGCAATGTCTGATTTCACTAAATTATAATTTAGCAATTTTTTATTTATTATTACTTTTTTTTCTAGGGGTAGGACTTTAATGCGTTAATTCCGATTAATTAATTGCAACAAAAATAAAATGTTGAAAAAATTCGTGGCTTTCCAGGACTGCTAGCGCTAACAGCTCCAGCGGTTTCTGCAACATGCTTTGCATTCACCGTCAGCTTGATGTGCTTCGGTGGGATGCAAATTCTGTTTTGCACCAGTTGCACAAAACCACGCTCTTGTCGAGGCTTCCATCAGGCAGTTTTTTTAAATCAAACTTGCCCTCCATCAGTCCAAGCTATGCACTCTCATCAGGTTCCTCCATGTTTGCTGTTAGCGTAGCATCTTGTGCATCATGTGATCGGTGGACCATGAAATCGACAATGACAAACGTTCCATGTTGTCTGGATGCAAACTGTGATTAAATGCGGTAATTTTTTTAATGCATTATTTTTGTTGTAATTAATTCATCGTAATTAACGCTTTAAAGTATATTAGGGGTGGGAGTTTAACACGTTATTTTCGTGTTAATTAACGCGTCAAAGTCCCACCCCTACTTTTTTCAGTTTCTAGTGATTTGAGTGACAATTGTGAGTTTTGCCATTTCTTTAATGGAAGGGCAGGAACACATTTGAGGACGACTGTATGTGAATAACTGGCAGTTGAAGGACCTTAAAGAAATGATGTGCTTTGATGTCTTCAGCCCCTCGTGGTCCGGACCCCAGCCTCTTGTGGGGATCTTTCACCAACAACTTCTTCAGCAGGTCCTGAGCAGTGGATCCAATCATAGAGGGGAATGGTGGATCACAGCGCAAAATACGTCTGAGGGGAAAAGCGGCGAGGAGATGGTCGTTTTATTAACACAATGCCCTCAAAATATACCGTCTGCCTCAAGCGTTTTAGTGTACAAATACGACTTTGCGGCTCGTTCCAAATATGATCGATTAGCAAAAAGCAAGTACCGACTGAGACGATTTTGGAGATTTTAAATGACTTCACAATACGTCAGGTTTTGACTCATAATTTGAATTTACAATTTATGGAGATGGAGTCAGCAGTACTCACTTTGACACCTCACTCTGGGAGTTCCTCTCTCCCTCCAAGGTAAAAGGAGATGCTCCCGTCAGCAGCTCGAACATCAGGATGCCAAGGCTCCACCAATCTACCGACTGAAGCAGAATGCAGGTGGAGGAAAAACAATAAGATACGAGAAGGAAACGCACCCGCTGTGTATCTGTTTAGTGGAACCTGGACTGACTGCCAACACACCGACTGGCTTTCATGATCAAAAATATAGTAAAAAAAAAAACAAATGTCTGTGTGAAGGAATGTCAGAGATTTGTTTCTAAACACAATATACACGGCAGGAAGCAATTATGTGAAAACACTGAGCCATGTGCTGAATTATGGAGTCAGACCATTGAACTGATTTTCTTTGCGGATTCTAGTTTCTCCGCTAAACTATAACTTTTTAAAAATGACACTGCATTAACACCAGAGGTTCTCCTGCTCTGTACAGTCTACTGCTCCTACTAGAGCCTGCTACGTGTTCGTCCTGCTGTGTCTTCGCTAAATGCCAGAATTTGAAGAATCTTATTTAAAATTTCTAAGAACGATGAGATGAAAAACAGGTAGATCAACTGTCTTAAGAGCCACACTGATGGAGAGCTGGGAATCACGACCAACACCTGCCTCTGCAGTGACACCGGGAGGTTTGATTGGACGAACAGACTGGTGTAACTGCTGAATGGGGCCAAACTGGCAATTTCCCTCCCCAGCTTTCATCTCCAAACCCACCAACATCTGATGCCCATCAATCAATCTAAGTTTCCTTGTAGTTTATCACATTAGGGAACTTAGTCCACAGCAGCAACGTGACAAAATATTCCTCATGTACAGTTTGTGATTTCACATCTAACCTATTTGGTTGGCTTAAAACAAACTCGGGTCCGTTTGCACAGTCAGTGGGGCTCGTTTGTGCTGCTGTCAGCCGCTGCCTTCAGCAGATACGCCCCCAGCATTTCAGAACAGACAATGCTGCCTATTTCTTCATGATTTTGGAATCATTTAAATTATACTGACTGGTTAATAACACATTTCTGTGATGTGACAAACTCGAAGCACATATATTTTTTTTACTGTTTTACACAGACGAATCTTTGAATCGTCGATGCATCCCAGCTATTAAAACACAGACCCCAACAAGTGGTCGTTTAGTAGTAACACGTCATGTTTGATTTGATAAAGCTTCGGTGAAAAAATGTTCAGCTGTAATCATATCTGTTTTGCTCATAATGCAAAAACAACAACCAGTAATCTGTTGCCACAAATCATTTTCTTGTTTTCTGCTAATCCGTCAGTTCTCAGATCTTCTCTCTTTCTTGTGTTGCATTGTTTTGGTAAACTATTGTTCCACATCCATCAGCTCCATTTACGCTGCTACTACTGAGGTGCATAAAGAAAGTCAACGCAGAGGCATAGCAACACCACCGTAGGTCGCTTAAGCACGCTGTAGCATAGCCTCTGATTCAATGCAGGAGCATAAATCAAATTTTTCTGTCCTCTGTTTACCTTGCCGTGCCCCGTCTTCCCCCTGATGATTTCAGGAGCCATGTACTCAATGGTGCCGCAGAAAGAGTAGGTCCTCTCCTTCTACAATGACAAGAAACAGAACATACGCTCAAAAAGTAAAAACAAATCTTGAATATTGTTTGGAGCGTCCAAAAAAAAAAAAACACTATTGTCCTCATGAACACACATTCTTATGTTCAGATTGTTACGGTTGTAGTTTTTGCATTTGCTCACCTCTTTTTCTAGAAACTCTTTGCTGAGCCCGAAATCTGTCAACACCACATGGCCTTCACTGTCTAGAAGGATGTTCTCCAATTTGATGTCTCGGTACACAATCCCCAGCTGAACGAAAACAGTAAGAATGACCACAGTTGTGTTAAGTGTTAATTTGGGAGAACATACAGAAAAACATACTAAAGATGGTTGAAGCGACTTCCACAGTCGCTAGAGAGGCCGAGGATGGGTTCTGTCTTATTGTACGCTTCCTAAATAATGCACAAAAGTCTGATACGTGTTTCTCCTTTTATTAAATGGTGATTCGCAGGCATTGCACAGTGCGGTAAACTTGTCAGAAAATAAAGACACTTCAGCGTAAGTTAATCAAGCGTGGCGTCAACAAAACTTACGGCTACCCAGCCCTCCTCTCTCTGGCAGAACGACCGCATGACCGACTGTCGGCCCTTTTGACAGCTCGACCTGTCACCAACTACACCCATGCTCCACATCACCATGACAACCAAATAAACAAACTATTAGCCCAGTGATCAATACTCAAAGAACATTTGTGGCTCCTACAGTTGTTACCAGCAAACACGTTCATAACTGAGCCGTAACACCAAGGAAAACGGAGCGACTACCGATTGGCTTTTTTCAGCAATTACAGCATTTTCCAATCTCATTCTGGTTCTAACGCCAAAACCTGTCAAAGTAAATAACTGCACAGATACCAGCACAAACCGAAGCACATCCTGTAGTTGCATCAGTACCTCAAGAAATTATAATACTGGTCACCCAGCGTGCTTAGATGGTTTTATTTGATGCTATCCAGAAAGGGAATAACGGGTAAAAGTCATTGAAGTTTTCAGCCAGAGTTGACGACATGTATGAAAGGCAGTTTTAACAAAAGCTACAAACATCTACTCTTCTAGAATAACTTATTGAAACGCTGCACTGTGTACTAGAATACAGCATAGCTTTTATAGGAAACTGCTGGCTGTTGTTAATTAATAAAATCCTCAGAAAAGCATTCATAACGTTTTCAAGCAACCTTGAAAATGCAGAAAATCCACTCTCTTCCCATCGAGTGGCTCATACACAAGCTGCAGGAACACTTAAGGCTCATTTAACGCCGCCGCCGCTGCTTTGTTTAGAACTAAATTTACAGCCACGCTAGTTGTGAAATGTCATGAGGCAACCGCTTCTGTGAGCTCGGTAGCGTCGCACGGAGCGAAACATGAGACTTAGAGAGGACTTTGTGACCAGCGTGATGTGACCGAGTTAGCGACTATCTGGTGAATAAAGTCAAACATTTAGCAGATGAGCGGCCTTTTTGTTTGAACAGGCAGCGGTGGTGGAAGCTGGAAGGTTAAAGATCAGAAAATTATGTCTGTGGGCCAAAAACAACACTCCAATGAGGATGTAATGTTGCTCTGTGTCTGCTTAGGTAAATAAGTAAGCTTCATTTCAGATAATAATGTGCCTGAAATACTTTTTGAGTCTTTCTTCAGCTCCCTACCCGCAAAGAAACCGATGGATCCAGCTTCTACTTTGGAAGGTAGAAAGAGCAACACTCACCTTGTGCAAGTGCTCTAGAGCCAGAATTATTTCTCCAATATAAATCCGCACCGCCTCCTCAGAGAAGTGATCCCGCTGGTACAAATGAGTGAACATCTCCCCGCCGCTCACGTAGTCTGTACTCACACACACAGAGACAAACAGGGAGCTTCAATAGACCTCATGCAAAAATTACACAAACACACTTCATGCACAATATGTCAATAACAAGACATATAGCATAACATCTATTCGGTATTTCAAGACTGGAGAGATGAGAATTCTCCATCCACTCACCCAGGATGAGATGCAGTTTGCTCTGAGTCTGGAAAGCGTAGTGAAGCGTGACCAGGAAGGGAGACTGGCGGATGTGCTCCAGCACCTGCCTCTCAGTGCGAGTGTGTTCAGTCGTCTTTGCCTTCTGAACAATAGCTGCTTTCTTTAACACCTAAATTAGTAACGCAAAGAGTGAAGATTTTCACCGTGACTTTACATCAGCATCTTCTAATTACAGCTCATTGGAAAGTCAAAATAAATACAGTTTAACTCCAGTCAGTCAGCCTTTACTTCTCAAACATATAATTTGAAGTGACATTCCAATTATGCGTTGTCCACGGCTTACAAATACGTTCTGAGTAAAAGCAAAATCTAAATAAATTATTTATATTCCTTGAATTTCAAGCACAGCCAGTAATTTACATTTTCGGCTACGATGCTGTTTCACATTCGTTTAATCTTCAGACGAATAATCTTACCTTCATCGCGTAGAGCTGGCCCGTATCGTGGCCGCTGTTCTTCCTGACCAGAAACACTTTTCCATAAGCTAGACAAAGACAAACAAATATTTCCTTGAGTTCATTCAAATTACCGCTTGTACTGAGCAATCAAGTACGACAAACAAAGAAACGCCATCAGACGGCGCTTTAATTAGCTGTGAGGCCGCTTCAAAATAGGAGTTCAGGATGAACAGGTGCAAAAATTATTCACATCTTTGGAACTAAGATAAACATATGCAAAAGCATTCCCGCGCACCGAATTTAATCAGGTGTTGTTTCTTTGATGGAAACAGCCTCTAAGAACTCCCATAGGCATTCGCTATGGATGAGATCTAATAACAGCATATGGTCCATCTAGTAAACATTCAGATAGTTCTCATGGTGTTTTGATAACGTGCAACTCCCAAGTCAGGACAGGAATAACAAGAAATGTTTTACCTGTGCATCCTCAGAGGCACTTTCACTTACAGGATATGAATATCAATTATAAATACTTTGCCCTTAGGATATCTGTTCAAGCCTCCTTTTTTTCTCTTCCCCAAAATGCAATTTAAGTTAAAGGATCAGTGCAGTAAAAGGTTCCGGGACCGTTGGTGTTCCACCTGCACAGAGGCCTTCGTGGTCAACATGTGCAAGTAGCATCATGAGAAGACAACACATGTGTTTGTGACTGCTGCTAAGGGCACATTTGTGATTGTCAGACTGCATTCCAAGCGTGACAGCAGCACAGGGAGCAGTGTGCAAAAAGACTATCAGGTATGAGTTTTAATTTATATAGGCACAGTTATGTCATTCATTTGTTGCCCCTCATATATTTGTATTTCGGGCTGCAAGGTGTGAATCTTTCTGCGTTGAGTTTGCATGTTCTCCCCATGCAGCGTGGGTTCTCTCCAGGTTCTCCGGCTTCCTCCCACAAGGTCCAGAAAATATGTTGAGGTTAATTGGTGATTCTAAATTGTCCGTAGGTGTGAATGTGAGTGTGCTTGGTTGTCTGTCTCTAAGTGTAGCCCTGTGATAGACTGGTTACCTGTCCAGGTGAACCTGCCTTCGCCCTAAGTCAGCTGGGATAGACTCCAGCCCCCCCGCAACCCTAGTGAGGATTAAGTGGTGTATAGATAATGGATGGATGGATGTATGTCATGTATGTCTCGCTTCCTGAGGCCTCTTACCTCCAGTGCCCAAGACTTTGAGCAGCTCAAAGTTTTCCATGCCAACCCTTTCAGTGTGACCTGTGAGGTTAGCTAGTGGGGAAAAAAAAAAACAAGAACACAAAGATCAATTTCCATAAACTGCAAACACATATTTGTTTTAAAAGGTCAAACGGGCACATGTAAATAATACATCAACATTGCATCTATAACATCTACAGAGAAACAAACAGAAGTAGTAATAACGATTTTAGTAAATGTATTAAATGCAAAAGGCTCAACATAAAAATGTCTTCAACACTTTATTACAACTCTGCTTCCCTTCACTCTATAGATTAAAATTCCGTTGCACTTGCGTTGGTATCTGCAACACAATCAGTGGCACGGTAACCATCATAATTCATTTCTGCTGAGACAGCTGATGAAAAACATGCAGTGACACCACTGATTGTGGTCTGGCCAGATCAGCAAGCACCATGAAATTATCAGCTCATCGAGGCCACACTTCTCCGCTCTTTGTGAAGTTGTCTTTGTGGAGTTTCTTTGTAAATTTACAAATTGAATTCGAGGATACATACAGTATCTATAAAAGAAAACTTATAATAATTCAACAGTGTGTTTATTCCTTAGTCTAGAGAGCACACTGAGGGATCCAAATGACTAAACGCACACAATCACACTGCGCTGTTCTGCAACAGGATCTATGCATCTTAACTTAGCTACAGCAAATTACCGCTAATACATAACAACCTTGAAAAATATTAGCTTTTCACATGAAATGCCAAATAAATCCCACTTCAAGATAAACACATTCACAACTACAATAAAAAAGTGCAAATCCATTTGGTACTGAGGCTTAAGCGCTACAATCGGACACCAAATCCCTTTCTGAAGACAGCGCACAAATCCACTTTTCACAAGCTCCCCAGGTTTGACACACACTCTGAAAGCCTGGCTGTGGTACGAGCTCGTCAAACAAATTAACTGAGCTTAATTTATAGTGAAAGTAAAAGACAGTGAGTCCAAAAGCGACACACACTCAGTGACAAAAAACATGGAAACATCTGTATGATCTACAACACAGTAGTAAAACTGAACCATCTATAAATGTATGAGTGTTATCTTGGGTGTGGATTCAACTTAATGATTCATTATGTGATTGCATTGTACAGCAATTAATCATAAGCAGTAGGGCTGCAACTAATGCTTATTTTATTTATTGATTAGTTTTCGAATAATCAGTTCATAGTTTAATCCAGAAAATGGCTATAAGTGTTTCCCAAAGCCCGAGATGAGTCCTTAAAAGTCTTTTTTTGTCCTTAAGACAATCAGTTTAACGTCATAGAAGAGAAAAAAACAGGAAATATTTACATTGAAGAAGTTAGAATCTGAGACATAGTCGTGAATAATCAAGTGTTGCAGCCATAACACACACACAGGTGAATGCTTTTTATAAATGGAGAATCAAACATATTTTAATATTGAATGACGTCCTACAAGACAGATGCTTTCCAATGCAACAGTACCAAAAAACTCTTGCTTTAAAAAAAATATTTGGTGATTTTAGCTGTGCAGAATTAAATCAATACCTCTGGAAGAAAAAAAAAATGCAAAAAATAATAGATTTCACACGTGTTGTATGATTTAAATGGCGGAATGAATCACAGTATACTGGGCTCCTTCCCTGTACATAGACACTTACCATTGGTGATTTGATGCTTGACAGTGCAGGCCTTTTCATTTGTTTTTCCATCGGAGTCATCACTACTATCAGATGTGTCCCCAGACATAACTTAAAAGTAAAGTAGACTGCAGCCTACACGGACTGTTTACAATGAACTGTGCTGTCAAATGTGTTGATATTTACCGAACGCTACGCTACAGGCTCAGCAATTTCCAAAATAAAAATAAAAATAAAATAAATCTATTGTGGCTGCATTATAAACAACATAAGGATTATCGAGATGATCGGGCAGCTGTGTTGTCGAGACAATGCCGCTGTCCTAATCCCAATGCGTTTGACATCCTAGTGTTTCGCATTATTTATCTCGTATGATTGGCCGAAATCAATCGGGAAAACTCGAGCTCAGATTGCTGTTGCTCGTAATCTGTTGCTCACTTTATGTCACCACCAACTATCCGAAAGACCACCGGGCACTGCTTCCAATCACTCCGACCAACTGTGTTTAGTCGCAGTTTGTGTGGCTAACGTTAGCATTAGCCGTAGTAATCATTATTCATAAGTTAGCTGACGTTACTTGCGATTAACCCGACTTTCACACAATCGACCGACCACAATAACACGGTGTAAGTCAGCGGGTTAAACAGCCACGACGCTAGTCGGTTAGCACGACCGCTACAATCACAAGACAGTTTACCTAGCTAGCTGGTTGTGGCAGTAGTAATTTGGCAAAGTAGCGTTAGCAAGCTAGCTAGCGAACTGCTGCCCGTCAAAGTTTGAACGCTAGCTAACCGCTGGTGTTTAGTTAGCTGTGTTGACTGGCGTCCTCTGACAACAGCTACCACACCGTGTTGGAAGAGGCCACTTTGTGCAGTTCCTTGTCTTCTTTGTCTCCGTTAGACGCACAGAACGACTCGGTCATGGTGGGAGTATTTACATCTCACTTTATATATTTTCAGTCAGCGGCAGCAAACTGCTACATGCTAACAGCAGGATGCTTTCGACACAACCTGGGCGACGGTCAGTCACGTGAGCCCCCAGTCGTGTGGGCGGAGCATCGCGGCGCGAGACCTCAGAAGACCTTTAGGTGGATCCAGGCAGTGATGCTGCTGGAGGTGTTCTCCGAACCACAGACTGGTGATCAGTAAACAGGTGTGTGTGTGTGTGTCCCCAAATGACATGCACGACCACATTAATACAGCTATGTTAACATCCAGTACAGCCATGGCTCAGGGTGGCTTCCTGTTGCTTGGCTTTTTAACAACATGGCTACTATCTTGTTTTATTTTTATTTATTTTACATACTTTAACACAAGGCATACATTCAGCTTTGACATGCCTTCTCTCTGGAGAGGTATACTTGCCAATATATACTACAAATACCCAAATAACAGTGTGCTAAAGATGTTGCTTTACTATATGTGTATAAGCTTTAATAAACAGATCTACTGAACTATTTGTATGGAGAATCTGTCCACTGTGCTTTTTATTGGTGTGTGTGTGTTCTTCTATAAAATGCAGCTCTACCACCTCCGAGGACAAAAACAAAAGCCACCACTGACGTTATTATACATTCAGATACTGTATATTTCACAGTACAACTGATTTCCATTAGTACATGACACTTCTTGGGACAGTTTCTTTTACATGTGAGCTTCACATTTGTCTGCGTGTAGGTTGTGATTACAATGGATGGTAAAAATGCCCGTACCCCTATTTCTGTTGTGCTGTGATCACAGGTAATAGAGAATTGCAGGTAGGTAAGTCTACTGTGGATATGTGGAAACAAAAAAAAAAAAAGGCATTACAATTCATTCCTAACACATCTGAGTCCCTCTTGGAAACCGACAATACGGTGACAACGTGGTGACTTTGAGGTATCAGAAGCCACGTGTGGCAACAAAAAAAAGGTCCATAGTAATGTTATGCATCTCCTTTCTGAGAACCAAAGCTGAGCAGTCTGTCTTCGTGGGAGGACTAATGCCATCAGTATGTGTGAAGCTGACAATTTATAGGCCGTTAAAATGAGGAAAGGCTGGCAATTTCCACCTTGAGAATCACTTTGCTGGGTGGTGTACACATTAGGAACCGGTGACAGGTGGCACTCGAAGACAAACTGAAAAAAACATTAAAGATGCATCATGAAATAATAAGTGACTCAACCAATAGTTGCCAGCAAAGAAAGGTAAATCCACCCTTCACCTATCACAATATTCCCATTATCCTAAAAGCATTGATGTCAGGCAGTATTTTGTACAGCAGCCCTCTAGTTTGAGGCGTAGGAAAAATTTGGAGCCAGCCAAAAAAACGATCTATTCAGACGTGAATTATTGATACACCTCCTTCTGTTAGGTTCAGCGAATGACGGCAGCTGATTATCATCCAAAACAAAAACAAAAATAGAAGATTCTCAACAGGTAGATTGGACAGATTGAGCTTTTGCACCTGAAGGCGTAGAAAACACCAGAAGAGGAAGCACTGAGGGAGACGAATTTGTAACTTTAAAGCACCATGTTTAGTAAAACCTTAAAGACGCACACGTCCAGAACGATGACAAACGCTGACAACGTGTGATCTACAATTTGAGCGTTAGAAATTCTCCTGGTTCTTGTTAAATCTGCGTAAAGCACGAACCGACAGGAATACGAGAACGGCTTCAGGGTGGATCTCCCCCTTTAAGCACTGAGCCTAACGGTGCGCTGCATTGTGATGTTTATTTTAAGATGTATTTCAGCATCTTTACATGTTATTTCATTTCAGAGTCCTGAAGATTTCCAGATTACATAAGATGCTTTCTTAAATACAATGTAAAAGTTGTGAAACTGATTTAAAAAAAAAAAAAAGAAGAACAAAAACATAACATACACACAAAGTCTCAGTGAGACTAAGAACGATAGAATTTTGAATCTGAAGGCAAGAAAAGAGCATGTATTATTTTGGAGGGATCTGCACGTTGTTCCACTGTTGTCTCCGAGTTTTCTTCCCACGCGTTGGCTCTTGTCTCTCATCAGCGAATGGCTATCAGTCCAACATCAATGAGTTTCTGTATCTTCTGAGCAATAACTGGATTCTTTAAGTGGCTGTGGGTCAAACGGGGAACAGACCAAATTATTAGTGGGTTTCCGAGCGCATTGTGTGAAAGCATCGACATCGACGCAAAAGCCGGTGGACTTACTCGCTAAGTGCTTGAGGGTCCTTCTGCATCTGCTCGAGGATCATGCGCATGGCTGGGTCGCTCATGATCTGCTGCACCTCAGGATCAGCCATGGCCCGCTTCTTCACCTCCTCGGGGCTGTCGTTCCTCATGGCCTGACTGACCATACAGCGCTGCAGGCCTTCTGTGGCTTCCTGAAGGTGGAGAGAGGTGAATATAGAGAAAGACGAATCACTCATATTGAACAGAAAATCCATCCATTATCTATACACAGCTGGGTCGCAGGAGGGGGCTGGAGCCTATTCCAGCTTATTGAACAGAAAATGCAACTGCAGAAGTTTGCCGCATACAGGCGCACACAGCTCAGCTCTAACTCCGTTTTACCAACACGGGGTAACGATGAAGCAACCATTAGCAAGCTGACTGTTTAGTTATGGTTGTGTTCATCAGTTCAGTCTGAAATGATTAGAGCATTTTCAATTTTCTTTTAAAGATAACCAAAAGAATCAATAGGAGTGCTGTTACACTTCTGAGTCAAAAAATCTTAACAGTACCCATCCCTAATAACTACCATTTAACAATACAACACTTACATCTACCAAGTACTACTACATTTGGGCTTGTTCATGTGTGTTCTACTTTGTGTTGACATTCGAGACACAGACAGGTCTCCAGACTAACTTTTTTACTTGTGGCACTGGTGCGACTAACTTTCTTATTTGGTCACACCTCCCACCTTGTCACAGGAAAAACACATCATTTGTTGAACATCTGATGTTTGTTGACAACAATCAGATGCTCCAACTTACAGATGTTCCCTAAACGCCCCACATTGCAGACCTCCATAGCTGCTGCTTGGTGGCTGCGGTGTGCTCAGACAGGTGTGTGACCGAAAAAAAAATAGAGTTAAACTGGGGCGTTGTAGTGTCCGATTTGTCCGAGTGATTTTGTACAATGTGGAGCGCATCTACATGTGCTGATCCGCTCATAGAAAACAGCAAATGCAGGTGCGCTCCACATTTCATGAGAAGACCAAATTTTTAAACTACCGCAGTCCACCGAAGCTATAAAAGTGCTAACACGCTAACCGCCGTGGCTAACACAGTGGCCGGCTGTGCTGGTTACAGCGACACCAAAACAGCTTCATGATCATCGTGCACTTGCACCAATGCGACCGGTTGAAATTTCAACTCGCACACACAAAAAATGGTCGGAGCCCTGCAGAGAATAGTTTCATAGTTTGTGTAGTTGTTTTTAAAAAATTCTCCTTAATTTCAGTTACTTTGACAATTAACTATTCTAAGAAGTAAACCAGAAACAAACAAAAGTACCTTTGAGGCAGAGTCCAGCTCTAGAGCCTTCTGGTACACATCCATAGCTTTAGAATAATCTTTCATGGCCTCCAAAGCAGCTCCTTTGCGCGTGTAGCCTTTTACTGTGGAGAGATGGGTTAAATTAGTTCACAACGGCTTTGGCATTAACGGTTTTCCTTTTTTTACAGTTCTTAAAGTTTCCTACTTACTGAAGCTTGGCTCAAGTTTGATGCACTCCTCACAATCCTGACAAAACAAGATCATCAAGGTCGTTTTTAATGTAGAGTAAAATCCACACACACTTTAATCAGGTGAGAAACACAGATTCACAGAGGTGCTCGGTGAGGATGTGCTGTACCTTCAGGGCGAGCTGGAACTCCAAGAGCTTTGTGTAGCAGGCTGCTCTGTTACTGAAGAGTTTGGCATCATTGGGATTTCTCTTGATGGCCTCGGTGTAATGTTTCATGGCTAAGGGGTAGTCTCCTGCAAGACGGAAAAGAGGGTTTCATCTTGATGCGAGTTCCTTAAACCGAGAATCAACAAGCACTTCAGCTGCAACAAATACCTTTCTGGAAGGCATCATTGCCCTTGTTCTTCTCTTCCAGGGCTAACTCTGGGTTGATGTAGGCTAGTTTCTCCTGTTCTTTCAGGATCTTCTCTGCCTGCAGAATGAATTACAGCATCGAGGTTAAGTGAAGTTCTGATGCAGATTTTATAAAATGAATTGCATGTCGATTGTCCACGTCTACTGCACCTGTTGACACTTCTTCAAGACATCGGGAGTGCGGTGCTCCGTCAAGCTCTTGTTGAAATACTGAACCGCCTCTTTGTATTTTTCCTGCTTGAAGTACGAGTTGCCAATTCGAGCCAGGGCCCTATAAACAGAGCAGGAGGAGGAGACCGATGACGATAAACATGTTATTACATGAGCGAGCAGTGATCTGACATCATTCTTGTTCCCTGAGCTAAAGAAGAACTCAGTGTGGGAAAAGCTCTTTGCTGGTGAGGTTTGATTATAGCTATGAAACAAATACAGACAACCACCTTTATGCTCTTCAACAAAATTCTTAAGTCGAAAGGGACAGGTGATTTGTATTCACAGTAGTGGGAAGCAGCAGAGCAACACTGCCACTTAGTGGTTCTTCTTTACCACAGCTGGTTTCTCTGGAAAAAATGTTGCTGGAAAGCCAGCATGCTTCTTAAGGGTTGCTTATGGTCTGCCTCACGGTCAAACAGCAGAAGGCCTTTCCAACAGTGGATTTGGAAATGTGATTTTTGTTTTAACCTCTTTCTCTAACTCTAATGTTTTCCACTTATCCACAAGGGTCTGCATGGCGTAAATTTTGTCATCCACCCAAGTGTGCAAGAGTCCACGTGGCCCAAAATTTGTGACCATGACTGTTGGCACTGCAAGCACGCCGATTGTGCATGCAAAAGAAAAAGAAATGCTGCTTAAAACACAAGCTTGCTACAAGGAGAGACTGTAGGAGAAGAGTCTCCATCATCCACACCTTCATGCTTCACCATTATAGGAGCTATGATTAATGTAGCAGCTGCTGGACTGAAGGTAGTCTGATTTGTAGTTACAGGCTTTCCAACCATGGTGCCAAAACACAGTGGGAATCTAAAGTCAGCTATTTATTTTGTCCTTAGTGTTCAGTGCACCTCAGGACAAAATACACTGACACGGTGCTACAATCTGTAACTCGCTGCTGCATCAGATAAAAAGCTAAATTACAGCCTTTCAGAAACGTCCACGGGAGTCTCGTGTGTATTTCTGTGGTCATTATGAGGGGCAACGCCACCATGTGCACAGCAGACTGACATGAATAAAACTGTACGCATCCACTGTCAGCTCTCAAAGTCCATTGGTCATGAAGAAATGGCCTTTATTCAATTGTTACACAGCCATTTCTGTCACTTAGGGTGGTGTCTGTGGCTCAGGAGGTAGTCTGTGTCCCTGAGCAAGACTGATCCCAAAGCTGCCCCCAGGCCAGCACCTTGCATGGCAGCAGAAATTGAAGCGTTTCTGTGTGGATGGATGAGTGAGAGGCTAACTCATCCATAAATGAATTAAATATATGCAGCTTTCAGGAGAGAGTGAGCCTGTGTATGAATATCTCACCCTCCTTTACAGCGGTCAGACTAACAATAACCACGTTTGATTTCCTGCGTGGTCAGACAACTCAAACACCTCCAGACCCTAAGATGTGTGCGGTTATTAATCCAGATTACACTAAATATGTTCTGCACTTTTAACATTTGTTCCAAGTCCCATAAATCCCCAAATGATCTTCTAACTTGTGAGGGACAGCAGGGGAAAAAAAGAGAGAGAAAAAGAAAAAAAAAGACTTTGACATTACTGGAAATTGCTCTCTGGTATTTAAAAAAAAAACAACAACTCACTTTGCAATTTGTCTGTAGTCTTCCCGGTTCTCTCTGCCAACATCGATGGCCTTCTCACACAGCTCTCGGCACTTCTCAAACTCTCCCTTCTCGAAATACACAGCTGAAATGATAACAAAAAGAGTACACATTTAACATTTAAAGGACTAACTGAAGGCTATGTGTCATGTCAGCATGTTGTATTTCTGAAGCAGCCATCAATCTGCAGTGTAAAAATGCCATCTTTCCCCCCAAGCTGGGGTTGTATTTGAAATGACGGGAAAGTAATACATCACAACGCTTGGACGACTGCATCAGCTGTTACACAATCAATCACAAAAGTCGTCCTTACTACGCCACACAAATCCTGTACATGAGAAACTATTTTTTTTTCTACGTATTTTATGCGCCTGTCAGCTCAAATGTGCCACTTTTAGTTTTTAAAAGTATGAGAATACCAACCTGCTTGATTAGATATATAAGTCATGTTGGTGGGGTCGTGCTTAATCGCTTCTTCATAATGTTTCAGCGCTGCTTCAAAGTCCTTATTCTTATACGCAGCGTTCCCAAGTTCTTTTTCCTTCAAGGCCTGAAACAGAGAGAGAGATTAATTAAACTCAGAAATAGGATTCGTCATTAGATAAGATGTGACAGCTGTGATTCAAATGATTTACCTTTCTCTTGTTTTCAGGCAGATCTTCCTCTTTGGGAGGAGGTGGCTGAGTCTCTTTGGGTTTGGGAGGAGGAGGAGGAGTGGGCTCCTCTTCTTCCTCCATCTCAGAGAGGTTTAGTCCCAGCAGCACAGAGAGTGTAGTCATCACTCTGGGATCCTGCAGCTTCCTACATGACAATCAGTCGAACAAGAAGTGCACTTAAACACCACAGAATTCTTGCACGTGTTCCACATAAACCTGGGATTTCCATTCAGTCCAGGTAGCTTTTGGCTGCTTTTCAGACAAGAAATACATGAAATGATGCTGGGCCTACACGTACTGGGTCATCTTGTACTAATAATCTACATTTTTTTTTATTACTTTTCCAAACTTTCATTGCAATGATCCACTCAAACTACTTCTGTCTCCAATCTTTAGTCCTACATAAGAAAACAACTCAGATTACACGTACGTGCCGAGCTCAGACGGTTTGTTCCTGAGCTGCTCCAGCAGTTCTCTGTAGCTGGGATCTGACAGCAGCTCGCGAGTCCGAGGATCGTTCTCCAGCTTCTGATACAAGTTGGGCATCGCGAAGGGGTTCATCATTGTTTTCTCTGGTGAAGCAAAAGTTCATTTTTTTATTAGCAGCTACAAAGGAACAATCAGGATGCGCGCTCATCCTCCACAGGTCGAGGATTATGTTCGCCGGCTTTCTCTCATCTGTAACCCCTACTATTTGTTCATTGTCTGAATGAATCACAACACTCAAAACCCCAAGTGGACTGCCTACTCTGCTTTTGAAAGCCTGCGAACGCACAATCCAATGTTACTTTAGCGATCCTGTCAGCAGCCATCTTCAGCCCACGTAGGAACAAAAAGTGACTCACACGCATCTCACATCATTCTGCCTCTTTTTCTGTAAAATAAAAGACATAACGCATTGTTACTACCTGCAAGCCGGGCCTCGATGTTCTGTAAACCCTCCTTTAGCTGCTGATTGTTCGGCTCTTGTCGGAGTCCCTCGTGGTAAGTTGTTCTGGCGTCCTCCAGCCGGCCCAGAAATTCTAACGCTGCCGCTTTGCGGGAGTAGCCCTGGTTGATCAAAGTTGACAGATTTTAGAGCGCCTTCTCAATTTTAACTCCCACATATTTTGCCAACAGAAGGAAGAACGATCTCACCTTGCCCCAGTCAGGTTTGATCTTGATGGTCTGACAGGCATCCTGGAGAGCATTCTCATAGTTGCCTTTCTTGGCATAGGCGGCTGAGCGGTTACTGAACAGGACATGGTTCGACGGGTCGAGAGCCAAGGCTTCGGTGTAGCAGCGCACGGCCTCGTCGATATTTCCTGCACTCAAGGCCTTGTTGCCCTGGTCTTTCAATGCTGAAACCTACGAAGCAAAAACAGGCACATTTATAATACTACAGACCTCTGGCTCTAAATCCACTCTTACACAGAGGTACAAGCACACAATCCCTAATATAGAACCGAGCGTGGAGAACACATCGTTCACAGCTGCTACTGCCAGAGCTGAGAAAAGGAATCGAGAACTATTCAGCTGTTCGTGTCACACAGGTGCAGAAGCGATGCAGAGAGAAAACATATGATTTTATGCTTTTACTCCATTAGCCTGAAAGTCTAGTGTCACAGCAAGAATCTGTAAGAGGTGATCCCACGTTTTTTTTTTAAATTTCAGTTACTGATAATAAACATTATCTCTATTTCAGATTATAACAAGTAGGTAGCTTGTAATACATATATAAAGCGAGATGGTTTTCCCAGGAAGTGCATATTGAAGAGAGCTTGAATACAAAGGCAAAGCATACTGATGATGCTAGAGGGTGAGAATAAATAATAAAGGTATACAGTCCATCCTTTGTCACTTGTTGGTAGCCTGTTGTAATTTGACCAGTTTTCACGCTGCGTCTGCACCGTATATAACACAACTAATTACATACTGAGCACAAAGAAGCGCCGTGCTGCTCCTAGGAAATAAAAAAACAGGTCTCCATCCCTGCTGGTTTCATTTAACAGCTATATGGTAACACTAGCAGTGCATTAAAGATCCTGGGTGGAAAACAAGTATTGGCTGGCATGGCTTTGACTCCACAGCTACCTGGCCCGATCCAAACGGAACATCTTTATATATCTGAGAACAGAATCCTCTAACACTGTGTCGTGAGAGTTTAATGAACACTGAGCAAAACAAACTTGGATTTTTTTTGTTAATCCTCCACCTTTACATATTTTCTTTCATACATTTAAATCCAACTATCCAACAAGGTAGAACTTAGACATTAATTAGCAAAATTAGTCGCAGTATGAATGAAGGCTGATTGAGCAGCTCCTTAGAAAATCAGATAAATAGAAGTTCTCCGAGCTGCTGTGCACAATGGACGGACATTTCATTCGTATACGTCATCTCAAATCTGTGTAGCACCACAAAGCCTCATTTTTTTTGATGGTATGTTGCAACACATTCTGATATCATCCAAAAATTGCTGCTCCTGCAACTTGGATATTAGACTTGGCCACGTTGCAGTTTCAATAAGACGTCGATTAAATGTTCAAACCTGATCCTGAATTTCCAGCACACTTCTTTTAGTCATTAAATTGCATAATCACACAATAATCCATAGTCAAAACCAACGGCTCTACTGCCCAAGATGAAAAAGGAAGCCTTTAAATCTATTACACTCCAGCTTTCACAAGAGGAAACTGGTCACATTAGTACCTTGTGGGCGTGCATTAAGTCTTCTGCATAAACTCCAGTCTGATCATTTACAATAATAATTCATGTGACCAGAAACAATTAAGAGACTACATAAATGAAAACACAGTAATACAGAGAGGTCGTGGAATTAGAGGCAAAAGTGAAAGTGCTCTCTTTAAATGATTTAAACAAAAAAAAACCCATGTAGAAATATTGAATTTCTCATAACATCAGCACAACCATAACCACGCAGTGCCCTCTCTTGACTTGGAAGGTGCTCAGTACTTATTGACTGGAGTGTTTCGTGTTACTGCCATGTAGGTTATGATGACTAGTCCGCTCACTATGTTTAAAAGTCCAAGTACCGTCTCAAAAATAACAAATAGTCACAAATACGTTCACTTCCGAACAGTGGGAAATTCGGGAGGTCGCGGCAGTCGACGACAAAATGCGGCTGTAGCCATGACAGCGACCCCGTGTGCATCTAGAAAGATCCTCCGGCGTGAGAGCAGGCTGCTGCCGACAACACTGGGTCCAAAAATACCCCTGCAGCATGTGCTGCAGACTGATGGCCGCACTTTAAGCTCCGTCACAACATCAGTACAAAGGGATCTGAGCATGGCTTTCATTTGTCCGTCACCTAATTAATGACAGCGTTCACACACTGTGGGCTAATGCTAGCTACTGGACGGAGATTTGCTAACTGGGGAGTTACTTGAGTAGCTTTCTGGTGATTTGCAAACAGTTAGAGAACTGCTGTGATATATCGAGAACACACAGACAACGGTTACCATGACAGACAAACCTCACTGGAACAGTTACGATGACAAAGCAGCTGTGACAAATTTAAGTCATGCACGTTAGCTTAACGGTTAGCTAACCTTGTGCAACCAAGTTAGCCACAGCCGCGCACAAACGGTCAGTTAACTAAGTTAGCACTCCATTCGGACTCAAAGTTTAGCCCAGGTCTGCTTAAACATTTTACGTTGGGTAACATAATCAAGCCCAATCGGGTAATCTCAGCCAAATGGCCACAATAGCTATTTTACTACCGGGATGATGCTAAGCTAACAAGCTAGCTATCAGTCTGATATTAGCAAACATTCAAGTCTCAGGATAAACAGCGGACTAACTGCACCAACCGCCACATTACTATTTTAAAGAAGCTTAAAATAATAACAACTCGGACGAATGCATAGATATCTGTTAAATATTTCGGTTTGGAAGTATTAATCATGAGGAGAGGTGCAGGACACTCACTTTCTCCATGGTGCAAGCATGAGGTTCCTTCCAGAAACTACTGCGGACTAGCGCCACCCCCTGAACAACATGCGGGTTGCCAGTTTGGGCTGTAGAAAATCCGTAATCTGAGTTCGGATGTGCGCTTTGCCAGTGAGATGATGCTGGTGAACGTTACCCTGTTTATATATGTATACACCCCAGTGACTGAAACTTCCAGAAGAGACAGGAAAATCCAGGGCTGGGTCACAGAAGAGGCAGCCCAGACATGACTGAGTCCAGGGCAGGAAGTGAGAAGGCAAAACCAGAACCTCAAACTACATCATGTTTACATCAGTAATTTAGTTTTTCGTGCTTAATCAGAGGGCCATGATCATTGAAGCTAATCAGTGCTTGTTATTACTTCTTAGTTATTTATTTATCTCACGTATCATATTTAGATTTTATTGCTTACATTCTATTTATTAGTGCATTAGTCTCATGTTTTGGGGATTTTTTCTTTTTACTGAGAAAAGTCTGGCACAAGAATTTCTTTTGGGTTGATAATAGATCTGTCTTATTCTTATCTTATCTTATCTTATCACAAATTCCCACAATGTATTCTCTGAATACGTGATTCTGCAAACTTTATAAACCATGTTTTTTGGGGGGGGTTTTTGTCATATGGCATCACTTTGGAAATAATTTTCACTACTTATTGTTTTTTTTTGTTTAGTCGATATTTTTTTTACACAAAGTTTACATAGCAGGCCTTCAACATTGCTAGTTTAGTTTGAATTTTATCACAGCAGTTTATTAATGACAGCATCTTCTAAAAGACTTGACAAAGTCCATACATGTGATGAATTGTGTTTAAAATTAGGATGTACTAAAACTGCAAAAATGTCCAAATTTACCCAAGATGCCCGAGAACTTTTTTGTAGATAATCAGAATTTAATTAACACTTAATAAAGCTTAAACAAGAGAATTGTGAGATGAAGAGAATTTAGCTGTCCTGGTGCTTAATATAGAGGAATACAGTGAGAGTGAGACACCGATAACAGGCTTGGAATCAGATTTTGCTTCACCCTTGCACACACTGAAACCCTGATGACTGAATAATTATGTCAAAGATTCCCTTTTTCATACCATACCTGTACATTTGTAAATTTATCAGGTGATATGTGTGCATATCCGTATGTAAACTCACCATGACGTAGCTGTACTTATCCACATGTAAATCCATCGTGCCTCGTACATTTTCCTTATGAGACCTCTTTTCAGATCTTTATTTTTCAGCCTTTTTGTACTTTTTGTAATTCTTGTCCTGCTTCTTGCAGGATTCATCTGTATTCAGCTGCTGTAACATGTACATTTCCACAGTCAGGGATCAATACAGTTTATCTTAACACACAGAGACGCCTTTTTAGTAGTTAAGTCAAGGCAGGAGAGGAACTTTAAGTCAAAGTGACACCAGACTATGCGTTGACATAATGCAGCATACTGGGAAGCTGATGAATAGGTTTGATTTACTGAAGCTCTGGTTTACAATATATAGGCCCAGATGTCAGCTTTGTCATCAAGGCTTGGTCCCACATCAACACTGTTCGAGATGTAATTTCACTCGTAAATCTTCCCCTTATTCATTAAAAACTGTGGGATGCTGCACATCTGCATCTGTTTGCGATCTCATCTTGGCAGGCTTCGTATAAACAAACCTCATGAAAAAATATTTGACAATACATGGTGCTAGATCATAAGTTTAGAGATGAAAGAGATTCATGGGGCAGCGAGGAGCAGCTGAGGATGGTTTTTTTTTCTCGCTGGGAGTAAAATCTAATCAACTACACAAGTTGTTTGCTGATCCATAGTTTCTCAGAAGCAGTGAGAGGTGATCCTGAATAGACCATTCATGCTACTGTTGCCATGGATTCACAAACCCCTCGAAATACAAGACAGAGAAGATCAATGAGTGGCCTTCGAACTCTCCGCAGTGGTGTCACACAGTCCCTCTGAAGCTGTGATTAGCCTCAGGCTCTGTGCAAAACGCGGTGCTGAGCTGGTTCTCTGGTAGCCTCTGCCCTGGTTTCTTCTTAAGATCGGCTCGTCTCTGTTTGCTTTAGTTCATCTACTAAAAAACGACCAATAGTAACCCAACAGCCACATATGCAGGTTATTTAATAAGAATTTAGGTGGGATTTCTGTGTTACTTCTGTGACTTGGAGGATTTCAAAGAGGCTGAGACAGAGCTGGATCTTCGATTGAAACGTCTCATAGAAGCCATTCAGGCTGTTGGTTTGCTCTCTGTTTTGTTATCTTACCTCCGCATTAGGAGGGCAGGCAGAGGAAAACTGAATGCTGTCATCACCCAAATGCATTATTGTCATTTTCCTTTCTCAGTCTGACTTTTTTATCTGTCTCTGTGAATACGGCTTTGAATAAGTGTAAAGCATGTGTAATCATCAGCCCTGAAAATGTCTCTTCACAGAGTCCTGACTGGCTTTTTCTTTCAGTTCATTGTAATATGAAGGGAGTCACACCTTAAGGGGAGATGTCACAGATGAATAGGGTAAAAAAAAAAAAAGTTAACTAACAGATATCACCATGAAACTTCCCTAGTTGATTGTCTGAACTTTGGATAAAGCCAGCTGCAATTTTGTTAGCACATTAGAGCCAAAGGTTTATACAAAGGCTGTTTTTGATATCTCTTTTTTTCACTCCATAAAGCAGAAAACACTGAAGAAAGGACAAACAAACAAAGAAAACCAATTTTCATGATGTTTTTACAAGTAAGATGTTCTACAAATAAGTTTCTGAATGATACATGGACAAACCGCCGAGTAAAAACACGCCGAGTGTTGGTAAGTGCCACTGAAGTCTACATTTCTGTATGAAAAAACTAAAAATTTGAGCAAACAACCTTTAAAAATATGTGTTTTAAAGTTCCATATATGTTCATTGGTTACTGCTATTTATGGGGTAAAACTTAGTAACCAAAATCATCATTAATTAAACTCTCCCTGTTGCAAAAGAAAAATCTTTGTGCCACAAGGTTTGTGTTTAAATGTACAAATGTGATATTATCCTATTTGCATACTGGTCTGTTACACAAAGAGGAATAAAATCAACGCCTACACGTGTATTTTGGATGTTTTCTTTCCACTCGTGTGAAAGAAAATATGTTTTATAGAAAAAAATATCCAAAAAAAATCTCCAAATCAGCCACTGCATGAAAAAAACAACAAGTTGCCTGCAGCGTTTTGTTGCAAACATGTTTTTCTGTTTCATGCTTTGCACACTAAAATCCAAACATTCAAAGTTCTGTTTTATTGTCACATGGGGACGGTAATGTTGCACTGTTTGAGATCTAGATGGCATTTTTCCCACAGTACAGAACAAATCCCCTGCTGTCACAGTATTTCCATTGTATTTTCAAAATCAAGACAAAAACATAGAGTGTGTTGTGGCGTTATCTCAGGATTGTTGGTCACTGGTTTTACTTTGCTGTCTGAAGAGTGAACAATAAAGTACATTTTGATGCAGGACTTACAAGTGCTTTGGGATTTAACTTAATGGATATAATAATATGCTGTTGTTTTTTTTATTTTTTTTTTTTTTTTGGCAGACTTGTCAAAAATGTAAATATGAGCAGCTTACTGTTACAATGCCAAACACACTTTTGAAATTAAATCTGTTGTGTTGTATTTCTTAGGGCGGTTGCTGTTCAAGCAGTCCAGTAGAAAGCATTGACCTGCTGTGGTGCATTTAATGTCTTCAGCTAACACTTGTACCAACCACAAAACACTACAGACAAGAAAGTACACTAAAATACTTACTACATTAATTCTCTTTTTCTTCTCCCTTCTCTTGTTATAAAAATGTATGAAAAACACACACTGCGAGTCACAAGATGCTGTTGTCATTATTTGTTATCAGCCGTAACTACAACTTCCGAGTTTGCTTGTCGGAACCTGAAGGCAACATCCTCGCCGCTGAATTTTGGCGCGTGCCGCTTTCCGAGGTGCTGAACAATTTTTTTGTCGTTTGGACTTTAGTGAACTTTTACCGACAAAAACCCAAATTATTAATAATGTACAACGTTAATAGATAACGTTTTGAGGTAGTAAAAACAACACAGCTACAACCGGTACCTGTATTTTCCAGCTGTGACGCTAACCTAGCTAGATTAGCTGTCCTACGGCTAACACCGGCTCGTTAGCTAACTAACTTATGTTGCTAAGCTAACAAGCTAAGCAATAGAAGCTGGTTTCGCTTCTTCCAAATGAGTTAACCTGACACCCTTTCAGTTTTCAGGACCACTGACCAGGACACCTGTTCTTGAGGCCTTTTGTGTTCCTGCTAGTTGCATGCCAGCGCAATGAGGAGGCAGGAGAACCAGCCACCGAGGCCCACAGCAGGTTAGCAGGAGAACCACTGAACAACTGCATTCACTTCTTTATAGAAATAGCTCTGATTCCTGCCAGGTTGTATTTTCTTTCTTTCATTCACGAAAAAAGTATTATGCTGGTAAATTGGGCTTCCTGGGGGGTCCTCCTTCAGGTAAAGTGGAAATGTATTTTTTGCAAAGGAGCACCATTTGACATTTTAAAAGATAATGGAATATAAAACTGTAAGGCGCTCAGGCATCCTTTTAAATATTGATTCTCCTGTGGATTAACTTCTCATTTAATGTTATCCCTGCTGAGTCAACACACGTAATTAATCCTAATTGATTTATAAACCGTGGGACTTTAAAAGCTCAACTTTGTGCACATTCAGAAATCACACATTCAACAGTAAGTACTACGATGGTGTTTCACAATGATGTGTTTATTGTGACAACACATGCACATGTTGTAAATACCGATCCATAATCTCTGTCTATGACCTGATGTCTGTTTGTGTTTTCTCTTCTGTCTCCACCAGGCTGCCTCTCTGTGCCACTCTTCAACCAGAAGAAAAGGAACAGAATTCCTTTGACATCGACTCCGTCTGAGAATGAATTCTTTTCCCACAGTGAATACATGGCGAGCACCAGCTCAGCCACATCTCAAAGCACACCAGGTGAAGTATTCAGCCTATATGCATTTACTGTATTTCTGTCACTAGGTGGCGATACGCCCACAGAAAAATAGACATGCACTTTAGTGATCTGCGACAAATTCTTTCTGTTGAATGGATTGTAATATTTAACGTCTGTCTGCTCAAAGTCACTATCTCCAGCTGCATAACAGGTTGTCAGGACATTTAACTTGCATTGTTGAACAGTATGAGAATCTGGCTGCCTGTGAAGGAAGATAAGCATTTGAAGGTACATACAGAGGAGGCTGGGATTTGTGAGGAGTTTTACCTCTGACGGGGCACTTTTCCACAGGTACATATGGATGCTACCAGGCCTCGACTCCTGCTGCTCCTCAAAGCCACCCGTGGAACAGACAAGGCATCCCTCAGTCTACTCCACCCCAGCAGTATGGCAGCAGCAGACCTGCTCCTAGAGCTGCCCCTCCAACGAGAGCCTACAGACCTGTTCCACATCCATACAAACCTGAAAGCAGAAGGTGTCTTTTACTAACTGTTTGACTGTTACTGTGGGATACTGTGAAGCTTAACTCATTTTAAAAAATCTACAATGAAAACTGCTCAGAAATCTGAATTAGCAATGTTAGACCCACAGGGTGTTGGTATGTTTTTATGTTTTGACAGCTCAAAAAATGGTATTTAGATAACAATCAAGATACCTGATGGATAAGTTAGCAGACGTGTGGACACTGCTGCTTTGTTTCTAGGAGCAACAGACAATGAACACGGATGTTTGAGCCTTGATTTTACAGTAACTTCATTTTCTGTCTTGGAGAGATAACAGTTCAAAACATAGCCTAAAGATATTCAAATATCATCTCACGAGTGTAAAAAGAAAGAGACTTGTGACAGAGGTTTGGTGCATGCTGGGTTTTCACTTTAGATGACAATACATCAACAGGCTTATTTTCATTTCAGCTCTGTGGCCGGACCACCCAGCGCCCCGGTCAGACAGCAGTTTTCCGGTTCCAGTGTTAATTCCACACAGAACAAATATCAGACCCCTCGCAGCGGTGAGAGTGCACAAAGCAAGCCGACACCCCATGCAGGTTTCTCTCAGATGCAATCATCTCAGTATTCTCAGCAGTCCAGACCTCCTCCTCCTCCTCCTCCTCCTCCTCCTGTCCCGCCACCCAGGAGGCCCCCTGCTCAAGCTGTGCAGCCACAGAGCAACTCCTGGAAATTTACTAACAGCTTTGAGCCACAGACGTCTTCCTCTGAAGGAAAAAGGAGCTCAAATCGACCTCAGACTGCTCGACCAACTCAAACTCAGGTGGAAATTGATATGGAAAATGTGTAATAATATACAGATGTTTCACAAATCTGCCCTTAATGTTTCATACTGTTGTTAGTGATCAGTGCAGCCATTTATTTGGCTGCTTCTACTGTGTACAGCGGGAAGCTTTTCCAGCGAAGCCAGCCGTTAAGAACTCACTGCGGATCCTGACAGCAGTTATTGATGGCATGAGACACTGGAGCCAGTTCAAAGACAAAGTGCATTGCTTATTTGAGATATTTGGTGAGCTGATTTGCAGCCGCTGTTGTCTCTGCTGTGGGCTGTTGAGTATTTTTAAGCACCATCAATCTGACGGGCTGCGCTTCTCTCTCAGCTACTTTAGACTCTGCGGTCACAGTGGGTCGCTACGGAGCCAAGAACTTCCTCATGAGGGATGGAAAGGAGGTCGTGCAGTGTGTCTTCTATGAAACTGTGAGTTGGGAAAAGAAAATTCAAATGAATGTGACGTTAGGTTGTCAGAGGACAATGTACATGTGTTATCCATGTTCAGTATGATGGCTATGATGCACTTTAGTCAAATCATTGCACAAGTAAACCTGTTGGTGTGTACATCTTGTATGCAACTATGTTATTGTCCTTTTTATTTTATCAAGCGCGAGGTCTTCCTGTTTAATCTGGCTCGTTCACTCCCAGCCTCCCTCCAGGGCTTATTGTATGAGTTTCACATGTGTTCTCTAAGGAAGTTTGGAGTTATCACATATAGCAGGAGCAGAATTTTTACTGTAATAGCTGCATATAATAGAAGACCAATATCACATGTGTTCCTGTCTAGAGGAGACGACTGGGTCTGTTTGTTTTTGTGCAGCATCCTGTTTAACCTTGTTCAGCAAATCACTTGCCGACATTAATCACCCAAATCAAGGACGTGAGGTAAATATTTTCATTTCACCTTATTTAAAATTTAATTGGCAAAGGCATCATGGAAATACATCTATGATGATCGACTTGGCTTTAAGTGTAAATTATGTTTAGTAGTGTGAGCACGGGCTGCAGGTGGCTCGGTGGTTAGCATCGTTGCCTCGCATCAAGAAGGTCGCCAGTTCGTGTCCCGGTGAGGATCTTTCTGCGTGGAGTCTCCATGTTCTCCCCGTGCAGCGTGGGTTCTCTCCAGGTCCTCCGGCTTCCTCCCACAGTTCAGAAACATGTTGAGGTTAATTGGTGATTGTAAATTGTCCGTAGGTGTGAATGTGAGTGTGCTTGGTTGTCTGTCTCTAAGTGTAGCCCTGTGATAGACTGGTTACCTGTCCAGGTGAACCTGCCTTCACCCTGAGTCAGCTGGGAGAGACTCCAGCCCCCCATGACCCTAGTGAGGATTAAGTGGTGTATAGATGATGGATGGATGGATAGTGTGAGCATTGTTAGTGGGCCACAAACGACAACACGAGCACTGATGTGTTTCTCTGTTTACAAAGCAACGGGCTGTAAGAGACGCTGTAAGAAGGAAGGCGAGCGCGCCAGCATGGAGGCAGCAACGGTTTCATTAGTCTGCGCCATAGCTGGCGTCCTATTGAGAGCACAAGTTTCACTCAAGTATTCTGAGTGGGAGGAGAGCCATTAAAACTAAAACATAGGACATTTGCGCAGCAGCAGTAATATATGTAAGTGCAGAGAAACAGTTCTGAGCAGGAGCAGATTTACACCCAAGCAGGGCCACAGTTTTGATGTAAAACGTTGCAAAATCTGAACGTAGACTGAAGAAATAATACTCCCAGACTGAAAAGCTATGCTCTTGAATGAATAAAGAAACTCCATAACTTTCATCTTGGTTTGAATTTAGAGGCTTTTCGATCAAACTTAAAAATCTGCATCTGTTGGTAATAAAACACCACCGCAGTTCATTTCTACCTCTTGTCCAACAGGAGCAGGTGCTGCCCCGTCTCATCCGCGGTCAGGTCCACCGCTGTGTGGGCAACTACGACCGCAGCAGAGACGTCCTGATGTGCTTCTCCGTCAGACCCGGCCTGCCCACGGAGCTGAGGAATGCCCAGGAGGCTGTCAAAGCCTGTGATGCAGAGATGAGGGCGCTGGTGAAATCACTGAGCGAAGTCTAGGCATGAGCAGGGAGCTTCACCTGTAGAATATCTGTGTTTGAAGGGGGTACATGAGAGCCAAGGTTAGTGCTATATCCTCTTAAGATGTTCCTGGTAGTTCTCAAAAACATTTTTCAAGTTTGTGACCTGTAGAGGGCGCTGTTTCCATTTGCTTGTACTCTACATGTTCTCACATTTTTTTGTATTTATTCGTCAACATACATAAAAGTAATTTAACCAAAAACCTTTTTAACGCCAAGTGAAGCCTCTCCTTTTATAAGTTATGAAATATGTTTTTTTTATTACAAAGAAAATTCACAGAACAGCAAACATCGTTTAGAGGTTAATTCGGGTAAAAGCAAAAACACGATGAGGTAATATCTAAAAAATATATCTTTGAAAAACGGGGCAGTTAGGAATAACATGTGATATCAAGTACAGTTAGTTTATTTACAGTCAAACATCACAATGGAAAAAACAATAACTCTACTCTACCAAAAAACAGTTTCACCAGTGCTGAGACTTTACACACAATGGTTCAACGAATAGGGGAATAAGTCCAGTGCAGTCACGCCAGTCATTCCCACACGGTCAAGCACAGTATGAGGTCCAATACAATACCAACAGTCCTCTCCTGATCTTCTCTCATATATGGCAACATAATCACAGTAATTTCTCTTAATGTCAGGACATGTTATTATGGGAACCCAAATTTATTTAAAGTTTAACGAATTAAGCAACCCATTAGTAAACACGAATACGCACATAAACACCCACTAGAAACGGGGAGTCTAGCTCGATGAAATTGGCAGTGTACAGGGACGGTAAGTGGAGAAGTAGATGTCCTTGGAACATGACGGGAACGGTGCCGGCGCTTTAAAAAGGAGGAATGGGTTGACGGGAAAACACACCAACACATTAGCTTATTTGAGGAGCGGGTTATTTTAAGCCACGTCTTTTTTTTTTTCTTTTTTTTTACACATAAGGTGAATTAATGTGTCGGCTCAGCAACGATGACCAAAAGGCGAGGTTCGGTTTGTACAGCTCCCCCCTCCTCTACCACTCAAATTCTAAATCACATAAGACAAGGATGCCAGGAATTAATCTGTTAGCTGCATGTCACAACCTTTTAATACAGCAATTCAAGTGATTTACCTCTTCTGGGTAATTGGCATAAACGTCTCAGGGCGTTAATTGAACACAAGTATATTACTTTTTTTTTTTTTTCCTTTCGATCTGTCTGCCATCATCTCCAAGGATTCGAAGTCATCTTTTTTTTTTCTTCCCCCCTCCAGAACATTTTTTCAAGTTAATGAGATCATACTGCATCAAGTACAGGAGAAACACTTTACCGCTTAGAGGAAAAAAACATAATAGAAAGAAAATAAAATCACACAACAGGATCCACAGTTTTTCAGCAGAAAAAGATGATTACCTGATAATTGTATTAAACACTTGTCTTGGTTATGTTAAAAGGCACAAGTTGGTCAGATCACGTTTAAAATCTAGATCAATTGTTCTACCGTTAACAAAGCCGTCTTTTCATGCATTTTTTTTTTTTGACAAAATTCCTACGTCTCCCTGCCTTTTGCAATCATTTTTTCCTGAATTAGAGTGTTTAGTATTGTGTGTTGTAGACAGAAAAAAAAAACAAGCGAGTTACACAAACAAATCTGGGAAAAAGGGTCGACAAAAGGATGCAATATCACTCCGAAACAACTACTTGTCATCACGATTCGCTTCCTTGTTAGAGAAAAGAGAAGAGTTTCCGTTTGTCCTCTCGGCAGGTCTGATGCTGTGTCTATTGTCCTGTTTTTTTCTTTGCGACAGTTACTAAATGTCTTTGAAAGCTAAAACGTCTTCTTGACTCCCACTGGTTTGCTGCCTGCTCACGAGACTGGAGGGCAGAAACAGTCTGAAGAAGAAAAAAATAAAATAAAATCCCTCAAAGCGTTGGAGTTCTCTTCTGAATGTGTTGTTTTGAAACCTCAAACATCAGATCTGTTGAATCCAGATCATATTTACAGTCCAGCACTATACATTGTAGATGCAGCTCCTTTAGATTTTGGGTCTAAATCCACAAATTGTCCCAATCTTTGACCGCTCCCTTGTTGAGTTTAGTGTTCTTCAAAACCTCCTACTGAAACATTGATTGCTCGAGTCACACTGCCACATAAAGTCATGCTTCCACTCTTTATATGCAGACGAATTCCAGTCTGTTTTGGAATGTTACATATGTTCTTGTTTCGACAAAAAAAACAAAACAAAGGTAAACACTTACATTTTTAGCAAATACTTGCTATGTTTGTTTCTTTATCAGTCCTTGCATCTTGCAGCTGCGTCATCTCCGAAGACGTTTGTCAAACTCATGACAGGTTTGAGGGTAAAAACTTATAACCACCAAGTATTAACGTACCATAAAACATTCCATTTAAACGAACTGAAGTTGAATTAATTACATAACAGATGCAGGAAGACAGTGTTTGTTCTCGTAGCGTCAGCTTTAGTTATCGCTGAGTGGGGCTTCCCAAGTAGCATCGCCTTCAGAAACAAGATGCAGGCGTCCTTCCGTGACATCAAGCCCAGGTTAGCGAGAATGGTCAGGAGGGCGTAAAAAAAAAACAAGACATGACTATAACAGCGTGGGCAGAGGGGTGGGGGACAGTTGCTCCTTCGGTGCATATTTGGCAAAAAAGGGCAAGAAGACGGTGAGCATGACTCCGACGATAGCCAGCATGTAGCCCCAGCCGATCTGGCACTCGCCAGCGTAGTAGATGTCGGAGTCGCCGCAGAAGGAGCGGACCAGTGAGGAGTTTAAGCCGAAAGGGTAGACCAGCAGTCCGGCAGCCATGATGAAAACTGCAGAGAAGACACAAGACAGAGAAGAAAGATTTAACAGAAACACAGTGAAAGTTATTCTTTCACAGATGAAATCTCACTGACTGTAGCACGCTCTTTGTTTTATTTTTTTAAGATTTATTTCGTAGGACAGTGAAGAGAGACAGAACACTTAGAGTAGGAGTATTACACGTAGCCAATGGTTCAATGAGCTTGGCCTGGAGCCAGTCATCTACTGCCCGGGGTATATATGGACATATGGTATGTGTCCTGACCACTCAGCTATCAGGTCCAGCTCACATCAAACACTTTTTAAAAAAACAGATTTTCTCAGGTTCTGTAGTGGAATTCAGTCATGCAAATAGCTTTGCGTTTATTTGTCCGACATCTGTTTTTGCCACCACCCAAGTCAAATAGAAGAAAGCAGAACTTCATGTGTGGTTTCAGTGTGTACTTCTTAAAATACTTCTGACCAAGACAGATATTCAGACCCAGCGAGATCTCTGAAAACAATGGCAGTCAATTGCAGGATGTAACTAAATGCAAATATTATTGTCATCTTATTGAACTGACCCTTTACCATCATCAGCCCAGTTGTTGAATTATCTGGATTTATATATTCCAAATTTTGCTATCCAGGATCAGATCGTCCATCTTACTTCTGTGTTGTTTTTATAAAGCAACACTGGATTGGATCCAGATATAAACTTTTTAGTTTTACCACATTTGGACTACCGGTGTTGTGAATGGGAGTAAATTTGTCACAGTGTGGGCTCCCAGCGATGTAAAGAAGAACAGGGAGGGCAGTCTGTAGGGGGTCGATTAAAGTGTTCAAATACCAGCAGGTGGCCTTGATCTGCTTTGTTATCGTAACATTTGAACAAGTCCAAAACAGAATAAATGTGTACTATGTGATGTTACTGGAGATATTTAAGTGTTATTACATTCTGCTCCAGAAATCCATCCTGGGATTAGAATAATTCAGATTTTTTTTTTATTAGATCACAGACATCCTAAAAACCAACACTGGACTATGTGATCTAATCTGATTTCAGAATCCTTTTTTTGTTTTTTTTTGGACAACCTATTTAAAAGATATGTTCCAATCTGATAACCAAACTCCAGCCAGATCACTACAGAGCTCCTGGGTCCTAATGGCCAGATATGTGTCATTTACTTTGATGCTAACTGAGAGCCACTTGGTGGCAGTAGAGGTTTGGCAGAAGCAGTCTGACTCAAAGTCAAGTGCGTAATTCAGACACTTCATCAGTGCTGAAGTACCTCCATTTGCACTGAGACGTATGATTTGTTGCCTCGTGTTACGTTTATAAAAATAAATCACGACCTCGTAGTTTCAGAAGTCCAGCAGCGGCACAACAGCTTTTAATGTATTGAACAACAAAAGCACAGATGACCTGCAATTAAAAGAACCGTCTAATGGAAAATGATTCATGTCTCCTTAAATCCACTCGCACGCATTACTTCAAAACTCCAGGGCTTTGTAAAAAGAAACCCCCGCTGTTCCTCTGCAGTGATCAACTTTCTCAGACGCTCTCCTCAGCACCCATGCAGCCAGAGAGTGGCTCACTTTTACAAATTGAGTCAAGTCTCCCAGTTCGCGCTGCCAAGCAGTTATCGACTGCGCTACAGGCTATCATTGCTGCTCTTAGTCATTCTGAGTGCTGGCTGGATTTCCATTACAATTCCAGGTGTCATAGTTGTTTTAGGTTTAGAGAGCTGAGGTTACTGGAAAAGCTTGAACCCGTGATAGCGGGTAGCTCACTTGAAAACACAACAAACATGTCTTTTATTACGCCGTATTGATTTCAGGGGATGTCAGTTTTCCTACTTTCAAAGGCAGCGGCTTCACGGTCAGTGGAAAAACAGTGCTCATATGTGAGCTACAATACAATAGCTGTATGAGTATTAAATCGATGGTCTGTGTGGGCAGTGAACGGTTGCAGTCGAATGAGGATGAGGAGGCAGGAAGCTTTCAGTGATGTTCTAGTTGCACACTGGGGGCTTTGGGGATGACTGTTAGGTGGAGAGAAAGTAGAGCGAGGGGGAGGAAACAAAGAAAGAGGTATGATTGAGCAAAGGAGCGATACCTCTTGAGTGTGGTTTGTCTAGCCTCCCGTAGTGCCTCTCTGTGGAGTTCACTCAGGGCCTTCCTCTCAGCTTTGATTATCGCAACCCTGTACCTAGCCTTCCCAGCCCGGAGTGAGCCCATGTTTCATCTGCAGGGGCCCAACGCCTCAAAGCTCACTGCCTAATGGCACTATAATGACCTTCTTTATCAAACTATTCTTGGCTTTTGTAGAAGAAACACAAAGACGCAGGCGTGTGCTTGCAGCCGAAGGGCCACGTCTCTTTTACACTGAAGCGGTGGCATTTAAAGGAAACTGGGACACAAAGCTAGAATGGGGTACCACAGAGCAGCATAACCCCCGAAATAATCAATACAGGAATGAAACCCAGGCAGAAGTCCTTAACAAGTGTCAAGGAAGCAGATTGAGGACTGGATTTTAATCAATCAGACCAGGACGGTATACAAGCCGGTCGTCTGGATCAGATAAGCCGCACCTCAGGCTGACTTGATCTCTGCAAGCCCTTAATGAGAGAAGAAGTGTCGGCGAGCTGTAAAATCAACCTCAAATCAGAGGCTAACTCGAAATGGATCAATTTTATCCGTGCAAATCTGAAAGAGATGAAACCAAACCGAAGTGCATTCACAAGTCTTAAAGGGGAGTTCCATCGATCCTATACATCAAAGTCTGTCTACAGGTATCAGGATGTACCATTCTGTATGTGCCTCTAAAGAAAGCTGTGTGGAGTACAATAAATTGCGTCAGGTGATGTCCTTTTAGTCAACACTGGAAACCTGTCTGCCTAAAGGTCTGAAAATGTACAGAACACCAGCAATCTGGCGACCAGACGTCATGGAGAGTTAATGAAATTCACATGTAGCGACGAGCAACAAAATAATCACTGGCACAGTTTCTAAATTAAAACTAATGTCAATCTTTTGAGATGACGCCATTGAGCCACCTACCAGCGTGAGCGAAGGATGCTATTGATTGCTATCACTGAGGTCCCCAGATGTTTACCAGAAGGAAACAGGTTCCTAAAACCGCATTAAAGTGGAACAGCTGCTCGTCACTGTGGTCTGCAACAAACCCTAATTGCACAACTGCACTCACAACACGCAGACGGACCAAAACCGTCAAATATGTAGGCTCTGTGTTGCTGGAATCACTGGCGTATGGAACGTTGTGTGAGTTGGCTATCTGTGGAGACCTGGGAGGATCTAACAGCCAGTGACGCTGTGTACTTCTGCTACTTGGTGTGTCTTCACTTCAGACAGGTGAGGCAAAGTCCTACAGGAAGCTTCAGCCCTGAGCTTCACCGCAGATGTCGGCAAAACGTCTGCAGAAGTGAATATATATATATATGAACCAAAAGAAATTTAACTTTGGTCAACTATTGAAGCGTATGTTTGACAAGTGAACGTGAAAATGTTTGCACTGGGAAATATACAACAGAGTTACCTAGGCAACTGGAGTCTATGTCCACTAGCAACCATCTGTCACCTACAAAGCGATGATTGAGTCATTGTACATGTGGACAGGTTTTAGTGCTGAAGGTTTCACTTGCTGCTACCACACAACAGAATCTCTGCCTTTATGGCAGGTGAACTACAGTGCGGGTTATGTAGGAACCAGGTTTTGACAAATAAGAAGAATATATACGAGGTGTGTCAGAAAAGTTCCAGGACTGGTGTCACAAAAGATAGATTTCAAATCCAAACTACAAGTAATCCCCCTGGACTCTAACCCACTTCCCCAGCCTTCTCTACCACCATGCACTCCTGGAAGGATTCTTCAGGGATCCTCCACAGCTCCATCGTCACAGCCATCTTGATGTCATCCACGTCTTCTAAACGGGTCCCCTTGAGCTTGGGGAAGAGGAAACAATCCCAAGGAGCCAGGTGGGGTGAGTAGGGAGGTCGCTCCAGCATGTTCTTCTCAGCCGGGAAGTGTGGGATGCTCAGGGCGTCGTCATGGTGAACCAGCCACAACTTGTCCTGACACAACTCTCGCCTCTTCTGAACTAAGCGAACGCTGCAGGATCTCTTTGGTTGGTTGATCGTCTGAAGGGGAAAACTGGTAGCTTGTAATTTGGGTTTGAAATATAGCTTTTGTGACACCAGTCCTGGAACTTTTCTGACACACCTTGTAGACTAAATATGACTGCTGGATCCTTAGTTTTAACTCTCATTTGATAGTCTGCTTGAATTGCATACTGCACAGGATGCTGAACAATGAGGTCTGTGTTTTGAGAAAAACCTGGAAAACTATAAAATAACATTCTAGTTTCTACTGCAGCAGGGTGGACAAGCTCTCATCTTACAAAGGCTGGACAGTGTGATCAAAGGGACATGACTGAAGCCTGGACGTGTTGACTGCTTGCAGGACGCCCACTTAACGTGGTAACCTGAATTCCTCTGTGCCGGTGACATCATCACAATGACCACGCGGGACTTAGTCACCACTGAGATCACACGCGAGCAGAACATGCAATCAATTCCCTGCTATTGTTGTCATGAAAAATACACAAAACACACATTTGCGCATCAGAGTTAAAAATCTCCACAACACAGATAAACCTAAATTCCTCATTTAAGCACTGGGGTGTTAAACAGCTGCTGTCAGCCGCCACGGGGCACTAAAAAGCTGTGACTTCTTCCATTATTCACCTCTTAATAGACTCAGGTGGCAAACAGTTTACGAACCTCCCATCCCTCCCCCAATACACAGCCTGCATTTGTGAGCGCTTAGGACAGGATGGAAAAGTCTGGCTCCTCCAGACCTTCCCTCCACTAAGAGGTATAAAAAGAGTACAAGTGTGGAGAGAGTGTGTCAGCCTCGATCACACCAGTGCTGCTGAGGCTATCGTAATGGCTCAGAGATGATGAGACAGTGAATAATGGAGAGGCCTGAACTTAGCCTGGGCAGTAATGT